ATCTTTGCACCACCAGTGGCAATTCACTTGTATTTGCTTCAAACAAAACGGCGGTGCAGTCAAGAAGATATGATCGATAATCCAAATCTATATTGCAATAAAACAGGACATATACTTCGCAAAGTGAATCAAATCACGTGAGGATCTTAATTAAAAACATGAAAAGATTTAGGAAATATATGCTGACGCCGAGTTGGCCGTACACGTGTTTTGCTAATCCTGCAATGACCAAAATCTGCAGGGTAGTTTACGAACCGGATGTCGAATTCGGGAAGATGGGATCCAGCTGCCACCATTACTTTGTTCTGTGTCCAGTTCGAAGACTTCTGCATGTCATCTTACTTAAGCCAGGAACGTTTTTCAGCATAAAACATTACAGTATATGATAGTCTTCTGATTCGAAAGGAGATATCGAGGACTCACTTGGACGAGGTCGCGATTTTACATCTATCTATCCCGAAGTTGCGTTTAGAAGAGGCATTTTGATTGGTTGATGATTTCAAGAGCATGCACAAGAAACATTCTGTGCTGAGTTAGTTATATAAACTCTTGGGCTGGTGACGTCCTTCAGAAACGAAAGTATGGTGGCGAATGTGTCTGAAGTATATATATTTTAACATCACAAAATGGCGATGATTTACTGGGATTTTGGTGAGCATACTGGAGAAGGACCTGCAAGAACATGGAATTAACTCTTACTTAACAAAATCCAGTTTGCGAGTTTACGGTTATTTCTAAGAATATCTCAGATGAAGCTATGTGTTCTTAATGACTGCGTTGGATTGGTGTAATTTAGGAAGATGAGTGTCGTTATTATTAACAGATAACGTCTGGAAAAGTTTGAAGCGTTTCCGCCCAGCAATCAACACTACATCTAGATCGGCCTCGCAGTTACCCTGTCTACGTTTTGCAGCTTTGTCTTTCGAATGTAACAAAACTATTTTACTTTATTCTGATATGACCCCCAATGTTACTGATGATGTTATACTAACATGTTATACATCACTATTCCGGCAGTGATTCAGAAGCAGACTAACCATGTCCTATACAGTGACGCGCAAAAGAAAGTATACCCCCGTGTTTGACTGTGCATAAACTGACACAATAAAGAAATGGTTATTTGATTGTTATTTGATTAGGGTATCATAGTTGTGTTTTGGACTTTGCAGTATTTCGACGACTGTTTTTCAGCCTAGTAGCAGTTTGATAACGTTTGTAATTTTTTGGCCTAATCCAATTTTCAAGTGTATTTCTTTTGCCCGTCAGTATACTTTTACATAGATGCATAATCTATAAACTAATTGGAAACTTGTTAGGGAATATGAAATGATGTAGAAACAAATCAACTATGCCACTTGTCATTATTCTAGATGTAAATTATATGAATTGATAAGAAACCTATCTTTGGACCTTACCCCAGAAACACAACCCAAGTTTCTCAAGAATACCCACGTCATACAAGGGATTTGTAACATATAGCAAAGTGAGTGTGAGTGAGTGAGTTAAATTTAAAGTCACATCGGCAGTATTTCGAACATAAAAAGTTATACATTTAAACTATCAAAACCTATCAACGAAGGGCAGCAATATATAGACTATCACAGGCGTAGTTTTAGACTAACGTGGAACAATGAATAGATATCACCATAGATAACAAGACAATACAAATAGGACTGAGCTTCTAACAATCTCCGCCAATAATCATACTCCCAGTTTGTTAACAACTACGGGACCCGTGAAGATCCGGGGTAGAATAGGTCTTCAGCAACCCATGCTTGCCGTAAAAGGCGACTATATGCTTGTCGTAGGCCTAAGGGGCGACTAACGGTACCGGGTGGTCGGGCTCGCTGAATGGTTGATGCATGTCATCGTATCCCAATTGCGTGGGCAACAGACTGTAGACCTGTACTGTATGCCATTGAAATCCGGTCTGGTTGAAATGGTAAAGAACTGTTCGATTAATCCGTGAGACATAATCTACCTCTGTACTAGTTGAGTCGCGAGTGAGCGTGGATCGATGCTCATGATGTCGATCACTTGACTGTCGGGTCGAGACTCGATTATTGACAGACCGCCGTCATATAGCTGGAATATTGCTGAGTGCGGCTTAAAACAACAAACAAACAACTATCTAGGTACACCAATATGTATTAATCAATTCTATTTCTTTAAAAAAAAGAAAAAGAGAACTAATACCATTTAAAATATCCTTTATGGATGAAACCTTGAAATAGTTATCCCTTGTGATGGAAAATCAATACAGGCAAGAAAAGTACGATATCATCATGTTCTTCTACATCTCTCCGAGGAAAGGGCGTTAACTGACTATACAAGTCCAGTTTCGTGGAAACTGGACTTTTATAGTGAGTTATATTTTACGCCGCTTTTAGCAGTGTTCCAGCAATATCATGGTGGGGGACACCTGAAATGGGTTTCACTCATTGTAGCCATGTGGGGAATCGAAACCTGGAAACCTTGTCTATGAAGTCATACGCGTTAATGATTATTCTCAATGAAATCTACAGACATTGGGGATCAGCTGTGTGGGGGAGTAATGATGTCATTGACCTTTTTCAGTCATAAAGCATGTATGGTTGGTTGGTTTGTTGTTTAACGCCGCACTCAGCAATATTCCAGCTATATGACGGCGGTCTGTAAATAATGGAGTCTGGACCAGACAATCCAGTGATTAATATCATGAGCATCGATCCACGCAATTTGGATCGATATCATGTATCAACCAAGTCAGCGAGCCTGACCACCCGATCCCGTTAGTCGCCTTTTACGACAAGCATAGTCACCTTTTACGGCAAGCATGGGTTGCTGAAGACCTGTTCTACCCCGGAAAAGTGCCAATGGGATAACTTTTGCATGAAACAGTGTGCCTGGTTCAGAGACGAGTAGACTATATTCATATATCTCCGTCCTTCGTGAGGATTCAGGATGTGGATAGTTCAGAGGTGACTTAATTGATCGGGTTGATGGTGTCATCGTACCCCGACGGCGTGGAGCGTTGGTCATAATATCAATCACTGGATTGTCTAGCTTAGAATCGATGGTAAACAGACCGCTTACATATACCTGGAATATTGCTGAGGTTGGCGTGTAACAACAGACAGACGTACACACGAACGAACACGCACGCACACACACTCGTTGGGATTCCGTATTTGTCGACTAGTTAGTAAGTTGGGTTTTACGCCGCTTTTAACAGTATTCAAGTTATATCGCGGCGTGTCGGCTTAATGTGGGAGGAAAGCCCGAAGTGATACAGGTCTCAGACGTTTACCACTTCGGTGAAACCCAAGAGCATGGGTATGGTGCTGACAAACCTAGAAACATAATCGGGACGAACCGGGCTTCGAACCAACAATCATAGGTTTCTGGCTTGCCCAAGGGACGCAACTCTGCCCAGCGAATCGCGGCGCCTTAGACGACTGGGCCACCCGTGCCCTTAAGATTCGACTAAATGAATCGGTGGTCATGCACATTCATTTGCTTAATTAATCAGGGAGTCCAGTATATCATTAAGACTGCCGGGGATTACAACAAATACTTTTTGCATTAGGGTCGTACTGGAAGTGCCAGACGATTCCCTTGAAATAGCTCAATTACTAGTGTCTGGTATGCAGTCACAGAGATAAAGCCCTAAGGTTGTCAAAGATGAATTTGGAACAAGGGTAAACCGTTAGCCGCAAACTTCGGCCCTTCGCGTGGGCTTATTTTAAAAAACTCTTTGAACCATTTTTTCACCCTGGCATGTCTGTGCCTGTATTGAGATTACTCCCCAGGGTCTGCTCTTTCCGCTGATACCCAATCGTTAGGAGTTTTCCACATTGGTCTTGGAGTATCAGGGGTTAAGCAGTTAAAAAGCATTTTTCATTACTTCAAATGGCTATAAAGTCATTAGTTTGGTAGTTTTGATTTATTTTAGTGATACTGTTGAATGCACATTTCCAAGAGCTTTCCATATATCTATAACACATATGGTACGGTTTCCAAAAGGGGTCACGTTACCAGCCTCAAATGCGTTTTGGTCGGTAGTTACGTTTGAACCCGGTTTGGACGTGCAGAGTATATAGTCTTTGCATGGTATCGTATCCCAATTGCGTGGATCGATGTTCATGACAAAAACAGGGCTGGCCCAGACTCGATTGTTTCCAGGATGACACCATAAATAGCTGAAATATGACTGAGTGCGACTTTTAGCAAAACAAAACAAGCATATATCACATATTCTGCTGTGAGGTTGAAAACTGTGTTTATTCATTCACACCATATAATAGACAGTTTATTTATTATCCAAGTGAAGGCCTACATTTGTATTGTTCAAAATATACCGCTCAAAAAAGTTAAAGAACATCTGATTTTTATCATCGGCTTTCTGGAGTACCAGGAGTGGTGTTGCCATTTTAGCAAAAATCCCAGTCATATTGGTATGCAAACGAATCCATTTTATTTTCTTATAAAAAATATATATAAATAAAATGAAAAATATAGTTTTGATACAGTAGAGCCCTCTTGCAATAAAATCCTTAAAACTATCGACTCAGTAGGCGGGGTCCATAGCCCTTTTGTGCGTGCAAGTTTTGTAACCTAACTCATACTGCTTCAAAATAAACTTCTTGTCCAAATTGAGTCGAGCCACAGTTGTGGTGCATGAAATTCACATGGTTGGAACATGACCTTGGGCGATGCAGTAGGACAGACGAACTACTAATGTAGTCAATTTAAACAACACAATAGTACCTTTATGCTCTATAAAATTCACAAATTTGTCAGTTTTTAAACTTTGAATCCACATCTATCATACCCCAGCAATAAGCTGGAAATCCTGGAATGGGATGTTGGGACATTCCATGGTGTCCCAAAGGACAACCAGAAAGGCCATATAAAGGCCAACCAGAAAGCCCATATTGTGCCTCTGAAATATTAAACCTGTCTTCAGCAAGACATCACACCTTCCACAAGGCTACCCAATAAAAAAACAAAACAAATTCTATGTTTAATATGTCATTTTATGCAAAATATATAAATGTTACATTTAATTTAAACAGACAATGTGCTCATAATCCAACCTGAGTATGAAGATATTAAGTTTTGGCTGTGTACAGGATGCGAGAGTCTACACAGGCAGCTGTCAGCCGGTCCGGAAACACCCTCACACACAGGAACCAGCAACACACAAATATGATCTCCATTATCCTTAAAACTTAACATACATTTCTTAAATTTATTTGATCCAAAGTGAACAAGTTATCACACATTAAGACTTGATCAGGTCAATAAATAAAAATGAGGACAAAGCCACAATTAAATGTAAAATCATTGATAACAACAATTAGCCTAAAATAAATGCAAAATTATTTTTTGTGATCTAAAATATAGCTGGCACCTTGTTGAGGGTGTCTAGGACCAGGTGATGGTGACAGAAGGGGCAGAGATAGAGAGATGTCAACTCGCATAGAACAGTCGGTATGGTTTTACATCGCTCCAGCAACACAGCTTCAGCAACACTGTCATATCGGGACAAAGTGATGGGCTCAACAGATCTTACCCATGGGTCTTCAGTGTGTCGAGCTTGAACCACTGACTACCCACTACCCACTGCCCACAAGAAAACAGCTATGTACATCGCCTGCCTATGTTGGTGTTGAATACACAGAGTCAACAAGCACCTGCATCTTTCAAAAAAAGAAACAACCACCTACACAAACAAAAGGAGCATTAATTTATGGAAATGGAACTGAATCATATACTACGCTCCATGTCAGTTTTGAATATCCCTATTGAAGTTGAGTAGCATAATTTGGATGAATGCATTAGTTTCTTCTGTGTATTCAACACTAGCTGTGAAGAAGCCTTTTCAGAGATAATGTGGAACCCTACACGGGAAACTATCAATGTCTCTTTGCGAGTACATTCCATACTTTTTGAAGCTTAAATGCCGCGGGAAAGAAGTTAAAATCTGGAGTTAGATATACAATAAGATTAAAATAGGATCCGATCAATACCCACTCCCACAAGTCTATTGGATGTGTTTCTAGGTTAATTTGTGTCTTCCTCCTTATAAAAATATCTTACAAACAAAATGCAAGTTTCAGAAATATACTATTTAACATTAGGATTGTCAGCAACATCAGACAATGAAATTACAGCAAACCAAGTGATTGGCACTCTAATGTGAAGAGGATAATTTTATCTTCCATTGTCCCTACTGGTGCAGGAGTTGACAGGGAGGAGAGAGGTGGAACTACTTTTGATAATAAGCTCGTGTATATGATTCTGACAAAGCAGAGTCTTCAGAAAAGACAGGTTTCACCCCAAGTCTCCACTGTTTTGACAAAAAGACTTCGTAGCAATATTGTAAGAGTCACATGTACAATTATGACAAAGGTCTTCGAACAAAAAATTAAAAAATTATCTCTTATGCTTTTGGAAAATACATGCTAATGTTTGAATCTGGTTAAGTGAAATAAATCTATTTTTGCACAAAAACATTAATGGATAATTTAATATAAAAAATTTATACAAAATTCCAAAAGAAAATAATTCAGATATAACTGTTTTCTGATTCAATTTTGAGTTAAGATAAAAATCAATTTTAAGTCACAATGTGAGTATTTCCACCATATTGGGTGAAGTTCAAGTTACTGAAGTCGTACAACTCATGTCTTAACTCCACATGTCACTCAAACAATAATATATGTTTCAAGAGTTTATGACAAATTGCAGTCAATTCTTGATCAACATGTGCCAAACGCAACAGAAATAGTCCTTATTGAAACAATTCAATTGACGTGGCAACAACCCAAACTTGCATACATTTCATGTTCAACATATAGTTTCAATTTCAAATTTCACATAAATACCATTTATAACTTTTAATAATGTCATTGAAACCATACACATATCATTCAAGAACTAACTGCAAAAAGAACATGATTCTTAAAGCAAGGAGAAAAACTTCAAAACAGAGTATTATCAACAAGTCATTCTACGCGACTTTCTGTAAAACTTGCTACATTCTAGACGGAGCACCCGACCAGCTCTCCACACATAGAATAGAGTCTTGCACAACTGCCATCGGACACAATACTACTGTATTTCTCACACAGTTCTTAATATACTGGCCTTGTGCTAGAGAAATGCAACTGTTTACCAAGATGCTAACAGTGTCTTCAATGAAAATGGACTCTTTCCTTTGACATACTGTCCCCCCCCATCTTTTGTCTTACTGATGCTCATACGATATTTTTCTCTCATTCTTTTGAATAGTCATATCATATAAAAGACTTATGGTGTTAAGATTCAGCCAAAGTTTGGACACCCGAATCCATCAGTATTTAAGCTGTTGTGTCTCCTCACAATGGTAAGGGCCGGTGAGGATGGTAACTGTGCAGGGCCCAATCCATGCAAATGCCAGTTCAGCTGATCTCGGTAAGGATTGAACGATGAGGTTATGTCAATGTATGTGAGGGCGCAGATGGGTTCTCGAGAACATTGTCAAGAAATTCTTACAAAAATAACCATAACAATTGGTGTCCAGCTTTTTTTTAGCAAAACAATTATTTCAGTTTTCTTCTTGGATATAAGTGAAAAAAGGAGCGAGTTGCCTCCCTTGCGGGTCCTCGTGAGTATATGCCAGCCGTGACAAACAACTCTATACATACATATCTACGTAGTGTAGATCCACCGCAAGTCCCTGACGGCTGCACGGTGTTATCCGAGCGGTTGTCATTATCGCTTTTCACGACAAATGTCCCCACCCTTCCCGATGAGTTATCATATAAAATACACTATCAAATATCATGTGGTGTGTAATGAGAAGTATAACAATGTTAATATTGACACAAGTGGGTGATACTATATTGTTGAGTATGACAGATGATTCTATGAAAATGTATACACAATATTCAATATCATGATGGCGATAGATACTCTATACACACAATGACTATAGACAGATGATGATGATGATGATGATGATGACGATGATGATGGTGGTGACAATGACACAAATACAATATGGATATGCTCTATGAGAAATAAATATGATCACAGACAGGAGTAACCAAGTATTCCTGCTTCTACAATAGACTATATACAGTTAGACTTTGGCATGCACGTATTATCTCACTAAGTAGAACCTTCTTATTTACATATCGTACAAAAATCTAATAACCATGTTCAACAGCAAAGCCCAAGCCTCGCCACGTAGGTCTTCCGTTAATGAGTTTTCTGGAATAAATCAACGAACACAACGTTCCTATTGCATGGTTTGTGCAGCACAAACAACACACATGTTCAAGCATACGATTGTTATATAATGACAAAATATGTAACATACACACTTTGTACTACTCCATATAAACTACACAACATTTGAGAGGGAGATTTCGAGTATCAAGGGGGGATAAATGACGGGATGTCTGAAGATGTACGAATCCGATGTGATTTGGGCCGGACTTCACTCATGTGAAGCGGACATGGAAACAAAAGTATCTTGTCTCATGGCTTTCGTAAGAGTGTGAGCTAGCACAGTATTTCAATCAGGAGTTGAGAAGGATTGTTTCGACACAGGCATTTGAGTGAGCTTAAGACTCATTTTGTTGTTTTGGCAAGAAGTGAAGCTGTTTGCATCAAAGATTGACTTCTTCCAATTCAGTGTTTAAACACAAATACTCGCTGTTTAAACAATGAAATCTATTCTTCCCACTATTGCATGCTCCTATGGTAAGTATGTTCATTCAGGGGTGAAAATCTTCCGTGGATCTTTGAATTTCCGCGAATCTTAGTGACCACAAATTTGTTAAAATCCCATGGCTTCCAGCCTTCCACTAAACACCCCCAAATTATGGATCACGCTCCATTGCAAAGAAGTTTCAGCTGAAAAGGAAAATATTCATTCTCATCCCTGTTTATTGGTTGAAAAGAAGCTTAACAGACATCAGCTCCAGCCCAAATGGCATCGGATTCGTATACCAACATCTCCAACCATCCAGTCCGATTATCCCGCATCTTGGCACTCCGAGTATCCCTATGCCATGTTGAGTAGTATATGACACAAGAGTAAGAATTGCGGTACAGAAATCCATACTATCAGCAAACTATCACTTCACTGGTAAAATGTAAAAACTGCGATATCACAATTATCACATGTATCCTCATCACCAAATATGGACACAGATTTTCAGTATTGCCATAGTAACATCAGCATTCATATTCACAGAGTTTATCAACATTCATGAAAACCTTTTGACAATGAAACCTTACAATTGAACCCAGCATGACCGAAAAGTTTCAGATAGAGCAATTCCTACATAAACGTTAACCATGAAAAACAGGTAAAAACCATTGTATCCATGACAGCGGAATATTAGAGGAAATTATTTTCAAACTTGTTTCCCACATAATGTTCATCCACAAGAGAAGCCAAGTTCCTGCCAGCATCTTTTGTCTAACATGAAATATGGCTCAGGGATCTTACAAAAATAATGTGATCATTATTAATTTTTCTTACAAACATTCAAAAGCGAATTTTTTTTAACTGATTGCCTAAAAGTATTGACTATCAGGTGGAAAATAGATATCTGAAATGCAAGAAAGTGTTTGTCATTAAAGGTTAACTCTTCTTTGAAGTTTTGTCCATAAGAAAACCTGGTTTAAGTTCCTGACACTAAAAATATATAGTTCTGAAATTTTAATTTCTCCACATTTGTGAATTTTTGGTAGGCAGATCCTAAAACCAAATAAATTAAACTAAAATGCCTAATATACATTCATAATCTTGTGGTCAGAGGATAAGGCCAGCCATATTGTACCAAGTCAAGCCTACAACATCCCAACGCTGATTCCAAGACTGAACACGTCACTGCACACACATCATTCCCAGTGGCATGGCAGTTTATCATATAACTATGTAACCATAGCAACCTGGGCTTCAGTTTAACTTGCTACTGAGACAATTACAACCACTGAAGCTGAAGAGTGCTATTTTTATAACTGGTATGGAAAGCTACAATATTATTAATAACGCAGAGCTAAATTGCACGATGTAACTGAGACATTCATTTATATATGAATATTCATAAATCAAAAGTCACCGCAATAAATTCACTTTTAAAGAAGAAAGACAACTGCAAACTTAGTTTTTGCGTAATCAACAATCTTTCTTTCAAAAGAGCAGAATATAGTATACATATAGCCAATACATATACCTTCAGGGAATACTGAGTACAACCTTTTGATGTCAACCATTGTCTTTCAAGACAAGTACCCTGTTGCAGCATCTAGCCATAAATACCAGTGCATTATCTCATGGTCTCCATGACGACATGTTTTCATTATTTCTGCAAATGGTATCAAATAAAATTTACGGAAAATATAAAATTTAGAAAATACTTTTTGAGCTTCATCATGTTAATATCCAGTAGTAATACTGAGAGGATACTCTGATATTGTTCTTGCCCTTCAGATGAACGACTGGTTTTATAATGCTGATCATGAAAATGAAACACAACCATTCACCTCATAAACAAATTGGAAGGCTTGTCCCAGCTTCAACTTGATTTTTTGGAAGAAATTTCGAGGTATAATTCTTTCTGTTCAATACTGACATGACAATGTATCCGTGTATTATAAAAAATGCAGGAAAAACAAAGTAAACTTATCCAAAATTTAAGTTTGTAAACTTTCCATTAAAATTAGTTGCCAACATTTCCTCAGATCATGTAAGTACTGCTAAATCACATGACTACCAAATATGGTACTGCTGATCACATGACAACCAAACATGGTACTGCTGATCACATGACAACCAAATATGGCTCTGTTGATCATATGAGTATCAAATATGGCCATACGGCCACATGGCAATTGTCTTCAAAGATCATGTCACCCACATGATCCTCACAGCTGTGATTTCCTCTTTTCCACTTTGCTCTTACTCGGTCACATTCTTGTTCCTTGACTTCCACAAGCTCTACCTCACCACCAGCACCACCATTGGTGTGAACAGCAGAACATTGCCTGTGTTCTGTCCAATCAGTATGCAGATGTTGGGCAGCTCTTAAAAGTGTCTCTATGCTGACGACTTCCTCAGGGGCAGATAATTCATCTTATGACTTCTTTCACAAATGGACATTTGGTTAAGCAATCAGACTTCTTCTCCAACTCGGTCATCGTTGAGGAATTCCTCGAGTCTGTCGTCCGTCGTGGTGGTTTCACAAGGTATGACAGGCACCTTCATGTTGACTGTTGTGAAAAAGGCCATCTTTTCTCTGAAACAAATCGATTTTTACAATTCAAAATTTCAAACAATAAGTTTATCATGTGTTCCATGGTCATATGGTTTTGACACAGACAGCAGGTCAATTTTCAAATTCATACCCAAATGTGCTCAGTTGAGAACTGAACTAGACATATCATCCTTCAGACAACCAAGCGAGTTATCACTGCATGGGAGCTTGGTGTTGGAAGAAAGTCCTAGCTGATGAAACAAATCACTGACAGGTCCAGAAGTAGGGCACAGGCAGTGTATTTTCTCCGCTTTCTCAGTTCACGTCTTGACTTGATCAACTTTACTGCCCATACATCAGTCATAAATTTACCGGACCAGACATCTTATACGGATTCAAAACTATACAAAGTGCATCCACAGGGACACAGACAATTTGTATGCATGTTTAGGAATGAATGTGCTATTTCCAAATTACAACAAATTTCTTTCTGAACACAATCATCTTCCAAACACAGTCGAATGCTTCACGATCTTCTCGTGCTCCTACTGAGCATGTGCAAACTGGTGTCACTTGTGGAGGAGTATTCAATTTTTGACATTTCTATAGGATCCTGCTACCCATACAAATAAAGTCTTCGAGTCCTGTGGACCTCAAATTAAACATCCCAGGTAAATCCTGACGATTATTACCTGAAGTTGATGGCATTACACTGCTGACTTCCTCTGCGCATGCGCTGTACATCCCTTGTGACCTTCTTCATCAGCTGCTGGGCGCGGCGATCTTGTTTAGACACATTCTTCAAAGTCTTCTTTTGACTCTGCAAGACAAGTAAGGATCAACTTGAGCACTGACGAATAGCCACCGACTCATGAGCACCCGTCATCCAAGGAGAGGTGAGTACAAGGGGAGTGGTCTCCCTTGACACAAGTCACATCAACACTCCTCCCCTATATCTCCAGGGCTCGCATTTCAGTAAACCGACACTGGCCCATGGATCCATTCCCTTTGTTCTTGCTATTTCAAATTACCCGCCCTTAATTTTCAGTAACATTTTACCAACCCATCAAACGTCAAGATAAGGAAAAGGGAAATGGGTAAAGGACTTCCCATCCCTAGCTTTAATGGACACGAAGACATCTTTACCATCAAAAAGTATCTTAAGGTCTTTTTTTACATGTCAGTCAGTTTTTAATGTTGAATTTCTCACAAACTCTATCCTAATCAATTGAACTGACTGCCATGTTGTTGATATTGCTAATCCAACATTGAGGCTGGCTTATAGTGAGTGAGTATGGTTTTACGCCGCTTTTAGCAATATTCCAGCAATATCACAGCGGGGGACACCAGAAATGGGCTTCACACATTGTACCCATGTCGGGAATCGAACCCGGGTCTTCGGCAAGACGAGCGAACGCTTTAACCACTAGGCTACCGACCCCCCCCCCCCCCCGAGGCTGGCTTATAACTCGCAAACCAAATTGATCAATGAAAATAAAGGGGGGGTAATTTGAGTTTGCGAGAACCATGGGAAAGCATCCAGGGGTGAGTGTAGGTTTACTGAAATGTGAGACATAGAGGATGAACAGCACAAGAGCAAAGTCCTTCTTGGAGGATATCATTAGGACATCTTTGTAATACAAAACAATAATGATATGACATATTACTTTTGAGACAGACTGATAATACTTCGCCCACACGAATTTGAAAAAAAGCACAGAGAGAAACAGTATACATAATGACGACTGTTATATGCGATAATTTTCATCAATACAATACAGACAGCTTGAACATCAACATCAAAATATATTTTCCAACTCTATACTTAATGATATTCATTTCAAATTTCGAACAACAGTGTTTGTTCAAATTGAGAGGAACAATCAAATTTTCATAACATGCATGGGTCATGCCAGCTCTATCATATGTCACGATATGTATGACACACATTCCGGCAGTGTTTACAAACAAACATCACATGGAAAGTCACTCGTGTCAACATTCTATACAGTACAATGATCAGGTCGTACTGCGGCATGCCAAACATTCCAAATATTCCCCTCAGGCCCAGATTAGTGTTAATAGACCATACATATTGTTCATTGCAATAACTAGGTCACTGCCAGCAAATCACATGCCTTGATGTACACACTGACCTGTAATGGATTTCACTGAAGTTTAATGACCAAATACTTCAACTCAAAAGCATCTTCATTATAACACCTGGTTCTAACCATGTTAACTAGTTCAAAGGTAATTTAACACAAACAAATAGCCTTCAAGGTGAATATACATGCTCCAGGGCTATAGTGTGCTGTACTGACTCCAGAACCTGTCAACGATCAAAGTCAAGCCTGGTGGGGATCAATCATGCACAAATAGACTTCAATCACGACAGCTCTATACTCCAGTTGTGAATGAGTGACCTACTTCCTGACATGGTTGTCAAGAGCAACATGACCCCAATCTCTGCCATTCACATTCCAGGACATCCAAGTAACTTGTATACAACAGCATGTGATGAATATATTAACATTTACACATTGGACCAAGGGAGGTAACTCACTTCAACTGAAAAGCAAACTGATCCCAAACACTGATGATGCCATCTTGTCTTTACAGAAACCCGAATTATTTAAAAATACAAACATTAGGGATCAAAGTGGTCCTGCTTGAAGATCAGTGAAGCAGGGTCTACTTAATCCAGTTTCTTTAAGACAATTCCACTACATAAAATTAGACTTCTGATTGGTCATACTTTTTTAAACAATTAATCATACTATTTCTGGTCTATGGCAGATTCCCAAGCCAGTTAACAATGATGTGCATGGAACTATCGGTAGACTACAGATCAGGGCTCCATTCCAGAAAGTAATCTTAAAGCTACGATCGTTAAAAGTCTATGTTAAAGTATGACTGCCTCCTCTTTGAGGAATGGGGCCCAGCCTTGTATCTCACTGAGTGAATAAGTTAGGTCTCACACCATTGGTACAGTTGTTCAGTAACATTACACAGTGCTAGCTTAATGTGAAAGTGTGACACTGCAAGGCATTATGACATCATATCCTGTTACAACCAAGGGACACAACTCTGTTCAATGATGTAACACAATGAAGGGAAGACATGAAGACAAAACTTCAAACATGATGAGAATAAAAAACCTGGCACTCATGCATACCATGCGAATATGCTACCCATTAGGTTGATCATTAGTGTAAACATCCACTCACCCACCCATCCATCCATCCATCCACCAACCAACCACAACTACTTTCAACATGACCCATACTTCATATTGTCAATAACCAATCAATCTTCTACATATTTCATGGCAACTAATACAACTAAGTGGTTTTGTATCGTTTACGTAATCTAATGTAAAATATTCATGCTAACAAACAGAAAGCAGATGCTATCTCTAGAATTACCAGTCTAACAGGACACAAACGAGAGGCAAAACAATAGCATCCTCAAACACACATGCTTCCATAGTTGAATTTCTGTCTAATGTGCTAATGCTAATTTGCAGAAGACAAATCGTAGCTGACATTCAGCATACTGTACATTAGGTATCAAGGTGCACGAGCCACAACACATCACACAATACACCCTCACAAATCATTGAAAACCCAAGGTAATCTAAGAAACAGTTTACCCTATTTTTATGCAAGATGATTCTGAAATTCATATGCAAATTCTTATTTTCATGCAAACACAATGTCCAAGACAAACTGAATCTGTTAATAAAGATGGATGAGGGCCGCTAAATGATTGATACAAGGAGATTCTCAATCATGTGTCTTTTGGTATCAAATATATCTACACGAGTCGAGAAAACTTTTATCAACGAGTGTTGACATATTTGATATCAAAAGACACAAGGGTGAGATTCTATTTATCATCCAACATCATTCTTCCAACTTTTTCAGTTTGTAGACATTAATAAGCAGTGTCTTAAGTGTAAAAAGTACTGCTAACAGCTTCAATAGCAGAGCCATTAGTGATGTCATTTGATTGTGACATCATGGTACCCAATTGACATCATGGATACAGCATTGTGATGCAATTTCATTGCAGCGATATCTGCAGTGTAGATATCGCTTGATCTCACCCAATCAATATCTCCTGTGGGAGACAGTTTTGGAAGATAAATCTAAGTTCTCATTAGTTTGTTTGATGTTTAACGCCACATTCAGCAATATTCCAGCTGACCAATATTCTGGACCAGACAATCCAGTGACTGATATTGTGAGCAACGATCCATGCTGTTGTGGTACAATGAAACACAATCAACCAAGCCACCAAGTCTGACCACCTTTGACCCCTGTGGTCGCCTCTTACGACCAGCATAGGTTGCTGGGGGCCTATTCTAACCCAGAATCCCCACGGGGTGGACAAGCATAGGTTGCTGCGGACCTATTCTAACCCAGAATCCCCATGGGGTTCTCATCAGTACCTGAATCCATATTAGCAAAAGAAAAAGATGACATCAGACTTCAACCACTGTCATTCCAATATGCTTTTTCTGATGATGACGAACTACCACCTTTGATCTAGAAAGTGGGTTTTAATGACAAGCTTAGCACTAATGCAGAAGTATCTCTGATATAAGAAAATTACTTTCACAAATTGTGTTACGCATGGAACTGGACCAGGTAGAGACATGATTCAGTAAGCTGGCACACGACACGAATCAGGAGCAGAGAGCCGCACTGATCAGCTGTACAGATCAAGGGACAGCCAGGCAGATCAAAGTCTAGTTTGATACAGGTATTTAGTAGTCAGCAGGGATCCAATATGTCAGATTTCAGGGTCAGAATCTAAGTCGGGTGTGAGTGGTGAGGAAGTTAGTTCATAGACTGTTTCATATGCCTGAAAGCTGCGTCTCACCGCAGTCAGCAATATTCCAGCTACAGCATGTGGAATCTGTCCAAATCAGGACTCCTCAGTTCCTTAATAAATTATCGTCAAACAGACCTAAAACTGCCTTTTCAACAAGTCAGTCTTTTGACTAAAATTACAGTCCCAACAACCAATTTACTATTGAAAAGAAGCTGCATACCGGACATTCTCGTACTTGGAAGTAAGCTCAGTCATTGTCAGCTCAAACAACACTGCTAATTCTGCATGTAATCCTATTGATCTTAACACTTTGTTGTCCATTTGGTTAATTAGAATTAACTCACCTGTTAATGAGAAACTAAGCTTAATTAGATTTACAAAGTGTCATGAGCATGTCAATAAATAACAGTAAACACAGATTGTCAGAAGTGAACCACTTTCCTGAACTTCACGTCGAAACTGTGACTGAGGACAGGACTTTGAAAAACAGTCTTCAGAAACAAAGCAGTCTGTTTGTTCTCAGCGGCCCAGGTCAATATTTCATGTACAACGTATGCGTACGCAAATAAAGATGAATGATCGATGCTTTCTGTTTTGTCTTTAGTCAAACCTTTTAACCGGTCCCAACCAAGTCAAAATTTGACAGATTCCACGAATATAGTACATCAGTGAGTTAAAAATTAGTCACATATAAAGTCACAATTGGTGACTGGAATAAGTTCTACATGTACATAAAGATCTACGAACTTCAAACCGCAGGTTGTTAATATCAACATGGGGTGAACTTTTACACACATTTGATGATAGTTAGAAGATACAGAGTTTACATTACATGCTCCTGTCTACAGATATATACGAATAAACCCGAGAACAGCAAAAGTCAAAACTGGCAAAACCAAAAATAGCAACAACTTCTTCTTACGTGTTTAACAAAAAACACCACACTTGAACGGAAACCATTTTCGTAAACAAATGACAATTTTTAATCTGTCAGAATAGAAAAATCCACTAATGATACAATGCAGCAACACATTTATGGCAAATGCTATTTTGCTCATTATGTGATTATGATGTTGTTATTGAAGCAAACATAGCAATCTTATTGCCAGTCTTAAGAAATAGCCAGTACACACAGACACAGAAATACACCAGGTGTACTTGAGGGTTTCTGTAAATTTAATGTACGTTGTTTCTATTAATTCATTCTGTATTGACAGGATAATGATGCAATACTTGTAAATTCGTGGACACTGTTGACATGGAACCACTTATTAAAATCATTATTTCTGTTGATTTCTTCTTCTACTGACCACCACATATACCATACCAGATAATATATCAATGTGTTAATGAAAATGAATTGCCATTTTTGTTTCTAATCTAAAGAAAAAGCTGTCATGTTTTCGGTAAAAACGTCTTGCCGTTTTTGGTTTTGCCATTTTTAACGATTGTCGTTTTCGGTTGATCCCATATACACTACATAAGTTTTCTTGTTGTTTTATGTTTCTGTTAACACACACATGCTATGGGAGAGGGCAAACAGCATCAGCATCATGCGTTCATGCTGATTGGTCGACTGACTGCAGGATTAACTAATCAAAAGCTTACATGATGTCGAAGAATCCCCAGTTTCTGTAACGAACACAGCATAATGAGGATGCAGTCTGTGAAGGTTTATTTCATAGCAGTCACTGAAGGGGACTCCAAGAATTAGCTACAAAAACTGGGTCCATGTTTGGATCCAAATAGTGATGTTGTGGAGGATAGTGCCTTCCCTACCAAACTACCCTTCCACCCTGTGTGGACTGAACCTTCACTCCAGCACAGTGATGACTTACCATTACACCACTGCCACAAGCGTATCTGTACATCATGTGACTGGACTTTCTTTTGTTTTTAAACACACGAAAAATATTCTGAAATCCATTAGCTGGTATGGTGCGGAAACACTTAGAAACATAATCAGGGTGAATCGGATATTCAAAAAAAATCCTTTTAGGTTTCTGGTGCTAAGGATGCAACTCTGCAGAGCACTATTGAGGTGTCCTGGGCCCTGTTCCACAAAGCCATCTTAGCGCTAAGATGATCGTAACTCCCATACTTTAACACAGGCCTACGGTAGTCGTAGGGCTAAGATTGCTTTGTGGAACAGGGCCCTGGTTGACAGCGTGCCGTTGTACAAAACCTTAGCGCCACGACTGTCGTAAGCCTATGTTAAGGAATGGGAGAAGGATACCTTAGTGCTAAGATCGCTTTGTACAATGGCACCCTGGACCACCTGGTCCCACAGTCAACAATGAAGCTGGGGTAGAATGTTTCCCACCTCAAGTTTTACCCTTAATGTCCATGGGGTTGAGGAACTACTCTGATCCATCATCTCCATGAAGAGCACCAGGACAACCTCACCTCAAGGGCATCCTGCAGACAGGACTGGCCCTGGCGTTTCCAAGGGAACCTATGGTCAGCCATATTGTATTTCTAAACTGCCATGTTATCCTATTTCTCTTCATACATGTATCAGTAACTACTTTTTACTCACCAACTTCTCCGCATCGGACAGCAGCTTCTGTAGCTGGTCGTCATCGGACAACCAATTGGGCAGCTCTGTTGCTCCTGTGGGAGAAGGTGTAACAGGTCAAAGGCACTCTGACTAGATAGCTTCTGAATTGAGGGCATAACAACGTTGTTCTCAGATAATCTATAAATCTATCAATCCTTGCTTATATTCCAGCTTTATCAGAGTCTGTATATAACCCAGTCTGTGTTGGGAAAACTGGTGGTTGATAGCATCAGCAACTAGCCATGCTTTCGGGATACAATGACAGCCAGGTCACATGTTGCAACCATCAAATAATTGTTAAACTTAAGAACACCCAACCCCACCCCCACCCCCACCATTTCAAAAGTAGGGTAGGTAGTTTTGTTTGTCTACTTTGAAAAAAAGTGACATGTAGTAGGTCAAGAGAAGCCTGCTTTCAATTGACAAGTATTGCTATATTGACAACTTGCTTTTCAAAAGTAAGGCTGTGAAAAGTAAGAAATTAAAGTCAATGAAAGGTCCGGTGAAATGGGGTTTAACATCGCAAGATTATTGCACTTATATAGCGACGTGCATGTACGTGTGTGTGTTTGTGTGGCTGCTTGTACTAGTCCGGACTGATACCTCTTCATCATACTAACATAGGGTAGTTTTGCAGATCCCATCAATGTACCTTTTGACTTGGCATCCTCCATAAGTCGCTTCAGTTCTTTTAAGCGTGTGATTTCATCGTTGAGGTGCGAGAGCTTGACATGGGAGGCCTGCAGGTCCAGCTCCAGGTCCAGAGACGTCCTCGGGTTCAGGTGGGCGGAGGACGAAGACTGCAACATCCGGAGAGGGTGCAGTGCAGGGTCATAAATGTTCACCAGATCATGTTTCATTGGGGAGGGGAGGGGTGGAGGAATTAACCAGCCTTTATATTGGATCAAAATGTTGGCATGAGGCTACTCCACTGCACTTTTCTATACAGAATGTTTTATACGTACCGTATTCAACGTAATAAGCCAATAAATAAGTGTTGTGTACATTGATCAATCGGAAGGGGTGCTAATTGGTATTGTTCACTGGCCAATATATTAGCAAATATCGCCGTGGGCGCTTATTAGAGCGGGGCGCTTAATTTGTCGAATACGGTAATAATTACGTTCATGGAAATAGTATTGGGGGATTTTGGTCACAGAAAGGTTGTGACAATTACCTTGGCTTTCCATCGAAGACTTCTTCTCTCCAATGCATTTCTCTGGAATGGCCCTCGTTTGTACAATGGCATAGAACTGTCACTGTCGCTACGATTGAGCTGGAAAATAGGGAACTCATCACATCATGTAATATATACATGAAAAGGTTAAGCGCCCCATTTCATTAAACAGAAAAATATCAAACATATTATTCTGAAACAAGTTTCCACTCGTGTTTAACGCCATGGACAGCAACAAATTATGACGGGTACCAGTGTTAACAGCAACTATCCAAGACAGCCGTTAAGAATGACACGTAATAAGCCAAGTGCGGCAGTGATTTTTTTAAGACATTTTTACCTTATCCTTAATGAGTGGGAGAGTGAGATTTCTGAGGGCACATACCTTGCACACATAGCCAGGCGGTTGTTGTCTGCACGCCGGTGAGAATGTTTGTGACCGACGGATGGTGCTGTTTCGAATGTGATGATTGTGTGGCCTCCGTTTGATTTCTTTCACCGAATAATCTCCTTCGGTATTTGTCTCAGCATCACATGTTTTCACGTGTAGAGATTCATCCGATTCAGAGAAGTGGTCGTCCAGGTTTTCAATGTTTTCCAGTTCAGCCAGGACTTCCTGCATCATTTCATTGTAGTCCTGAAGTAGAGAGCACACACAAACTCAGGCTACCTTCTCAAGGGTGGATCCAACATTTTCAAAAGGGAGGGGTCATCTTCAACATAATACAACCCCCTAGAACCCCCTTCTGAATCCACAATGTTTCTCACAATGCCATCTAGCACTGGATATGGCAAAGTAAGGCCTTTATTTTCTAATTTCCTATTAGCTGGTTTTAAAAAAATATGGTCTAAAATTCAATGTAGGTGGCCGAAAAAAAGTCAACTTCCAGATTAGTACTGCTACAATTAAAAAGAAAATAGGTCTTAACATGGCAAGATACCACAAGGTAACTGATTGTTATTCAGTTAAAATAAAGACTTTTATACATATTATTCATCCATCTTACGAGCAGCAGTGATAAAAACTTGTGTGCTTTTTTTATTTAATCTAATTGTAAAACAGAGTTGGACCAACTTTTTTTGTCAAAAATATTTTCTTTCTTTCATGGTTTTCATTGTCGGTTGATCTCTCAAACCACCTAAAACACTACATACAGACATAGGACCTAACTAGCTGTTAATGAACTTCCTGTGAAACCATCTTCCCAAGGCAAGCGAGTTAACTGACTATAAAAGTCCAGTTTCCACCCTTGCCGAACTAGGCTGGTATTATTGAGTTACATTTTGGCTGGACTAACGAGTCTATGCATAGCCCAATCAAAATCGCGCACCGAAATCGAAATCCGGTTCGTATACTGTCGTGCAAATTTCGGCCGATTGCAGGATTTGCAAAGCATGTGCATCGCCAACTCAATGTCAGCAGATATTTTCCAAATCTTTTCATGTTTTTAATCAAGGTGCTCATGTGATTTGATGCATTTCGCGATGTAAGACCCGTTTTATCACAATATATATCTTGATTACCGATCAGATCGCCCTGGCTTGGCGCCGACATTTTGGGTGAAGCAAACGCAAGTGATAGGAAAGGTCCATTGGTCCATAGGAGAGGCTGAGAGGGGACATAACTGGTACTAGCCACTGGTGGCACTACAATCGAGCCCAGTAATTCCAGCCAAGTTCGGCAAGGGTGGAAACTAGACTTTTAAAGACAGTTAACTCTCTTGCTTCGGGAAGATGTCAGAAACAAACACATTCATACTTTATGAAAATCAGAAAGAAGTACACCATACTATATGCACATATATGGACCTGGAGCTTATTTAATATAAAATATATTAAATGACAATTGTTGTAATTCTTTCTTTTCTTGTATGCATTTCATACTTAATGTCCATTGTTCAGAGCCTAATTATCACAAAGTGACACTAAGCGTTCCCATATTATTTTTGACCCTCACTTTCTCATCTTCTTCCTCCAAGTCTTCATCATCTTCGTCCTCCTCATCATCATTCTCCCCAAATCCAGCCAGACGTGGGCTTGTCTCCCTATCTTGGTGGCTGGCCATGTCCTCGGGACCTAGCGGCAAAAGTATTTGTTACATAGATGCATCTGACAGGAGGTAAACCTTGTTTAATTTCATTCAGAAAGTAGTGAGTGAGTGAGTATGGTTTTACATCACTTTCATCAATATTTCAGCAAAGCTAGGGACACCAGGAATGGGTTTCATGTGTTGAATTAAACCCAGGCGTTCAGCACTTTAACCACTAGGCTACCCTACTGCCGTGTTGAACGTGATTCAAAGCCCAGATTGAAACAGTGAATGAATAATTGTCTCGCTAAAAATCTTGTCCTCTTGTTCACATTGTCACAACATGGTACCTAACATGGTGACCTGCATTTGTTACTCATACATACTTTCAACAAAACAAATGTCAGGCAGAAAAGCATTGCTTTAGTTGACTCTTTCATTTGAACATTTAAAACCTCCGCTACACTTCTGACATAGAACACTCAATCTAGAGGATCGCAGTCCTGGAACGTTTCTTGTCATTCTGTGAGCAACTGAATAGATGATTGTGCCGTCAAGTCTGCCATTACCTTGGTTCCTGGTGAGCGTGGATGTCTGGGAGGAGATGATGGTGGACTCGTCGCTGCTTTCTTCCTTCACCGAGGACACAGCAGGATGAGGAGACTTGAAGTGACTGAAACATGGCACACTTAAATATAATACACATCAGCTGCAAACTGTCATATATTGCATACACCATCCTGTCTAGCATACACCATCCTGTCTAGCATACACCATCTCATATTGCATACACCATCCTGTCTAGCATACACCATCTCATATTGCATACACCATCTCGTCTTGCATACACCATCTCATATTGCATACACCATCTCGTACTGCATACACCATCCCGTATTGCATACACCATCCCGTCTAGCATACACCATCTCAAATTGCATACACCATCCAGTCTTGCATACACCATTTCTTATTGCATACACCATCCTGTCTTGCATACACCATCTCATATTGCATACATCATCCTGTCTTGCACACACCATTTCATATTGCATACACCATCTCGTATTGCATACACAATCCTACACCATCCTGTCTTGCATACACCATTTCATATTGCACACACCATCCCGTCTTGCATACACCATCTCATATTGCAAACACCATCTCATATCGCATACACCATCTCATATTGCATACACCATCTCATATCGCAAACACCATCTCATATTGCAAACACCATCTCATATCGCATACACCATCTCATATCGCATACACCATCTCATATCGCATACACCATCTCATATCGCATACACCATCTCATATCACAAACACCATCTCATATCGCATACACCATCTCATATCGCATACACCATCTCATATCGCAAACACCATCTCATACTGCAAACACCATCTAACAATGCCTGTCACAGAGTGTCCATCGAACCTAGTTATGTTCTACAGCACGCCTACCTGGCCTCCTTCACGACGACCTCCAGGACTGGCTTCTCGTCACTTGGCAGAGACGACTTGCGCAGCTTGGCAGAAGAAGCTTCAAGCAGCTGTGTAACTCTGTCAGACGATTCTCTCTGGAATAAAACAAATGGTTGGAATGTTCAGGTCTTGTGTGCAAGAAACAATAATAGTGAGTGTTATAAAGCAGGCTTTGTGGAACATGTTAAGGAGGCATTTAACAATCAGTACCACATTCTGGAGAAACAAAAGCTGGTCATCCAGATGTGTGTTCAGGAAACACTAAATGGGGGACACCAGTGGGTGACAGCATGAGCAACAAAGGAATTCACCCACAGACGTAGAACAACATTTGCATGTTAATCCCGACCAGGAATTCTCCCACAGACGTAGAACAACATTTGCATATTTATCCCGACCAGGAATTCACCCACAGACGTAGAACAACATTTGCATATTTATCCCGACCACAGACGTAGAATAACATTTGCATGTTAATCCCGACCACAGACGTAGAACAACATTTGCATGTTAATCCCATCCAGGAATTCTCCCACAGACGTAGAACAACATTTGCATATTTATCCTGACCAGGAATTCACCCACAGACGTAGAACAACATTTGCATGTTAATCCCGACCAGGAATTCACCCACAGACGTAGAACAACATTTGCATGTTAATCCCGTCCAGGAATTCACCCACAGACGTAGAACAACATTTGCATATTTATCCCGACCAAGAATTCACCCACAGATGTAGAACAACATTTGCATGTTAATCCCGACCAGGAATTCACCCACAGACGTAGAACAACATTTGCATGTTAATCCCAACCAGGAATTCACCCACAGACGTAGAACAACATTTGCATATTTATCCCGACCAAGAATTCACCCACAGACGTAGAACAACATTTGCATGTTAATCCCGACCAGGAATTCACCCACAGACGTAGAACAACATTTGCATGTTAATCCCGACCAGGAATTCACCCACAGACGTAGAACAACCCTTTGGATATTAATCCCTACCAGAAATTCACCCTGACCTACCACAACCCTTGCATATTAACCACTACAAGACCCACAACCCTTCAACCACCTTGCATGAAAACGTTCCCCCAACTAAACTGTTACCTGCGTGAGAGTTTGGCTGGAGGAGTGCCGTGTGTCATCCGAGCTGAGGGTACTGCTGGACGATGGCTGACTGGCTTCACTTGATTTCTTCGTCCCGGTCCTCAAATCTGACTGCATGAACTTAAAACTCAGAATGTTGTACCATCGGGTAGAAACCTCCTTCGGGTCGAAATCAGCCAGACTCACTTGAGCACAGCCCTGTCAACACAACAGACATCTTAGAATAAGATGACTCTCCATGGGTTTGACATGGTACAAGATCACATTAGTGTAATATAATACTCAACTTTTGATAGGGATATTTAAATCCTTCCATGACTCCCCAAAATGGATCTAAAAAATATATCACGTATATACAATAGAACATGGATATAACGGACTACAAGGAACTGGAGAAATCAGTTCGTTATTATATGTTTGAATAAAGATAAAGCTTAAATTCAGTCAACTTCAGTGTATATATGACCAGATCGATTTATAGTGTAGGGGAGTGAATCTAAATACTTTTTGTCAGAGCTCTATTCAAACAATTCTTAATCGGACATTTTGTACTCATCTTGAGACCTACAGTGGGTGTCAGTGTAGGGTTGGGTAATAGGGGGTTGGGTACCCGGGTAGTAAATCTGGACTCCCAGCCCAAATGTGACCTATCTGCGGCACTCACCAGGCACTCCTCCTCCCTAGTGGGGTGTACGCTCCACACGTTGACCTGCAGCGTCTTGGAAGACAACTTCTGCTCAGCCAGGGTCACCCGAAATGTCTCTGCAAACTTGGTGTTCTTCAGATCTGGTAGCGTCTTTGTCTTCCACGCCGTCTCCATGTTGTGGGGCAACAGTGCAGCTTTAATACATCTGAATACCGAGAACATCAGCATTAGACTGAGAGGGAAGAAAGGAGGGGTGCTGCTTTAATACATCTGAATACCGAGAACATCAGCATTAGACTGAGAGGGAAGAAAGGAGGGGTGCTGCTTTAATACATCTGAATACCGAGAACATCAGCATTAGACTGAGAGGGAAGATAGGAGGGGTGCTGCTTTAATACATCTGAATACCGAGAACATCAGCATTAGACTGAGAGGGAAGAAAGGAGGGGTGCAGCTTTAAAACATCTGAATACCTAGAACATCAGCATTAGACTGGGAGGGAGGAAAGGAGCATTAGACTGGGAGGGAAGAAAGGAGGGGTGCAGCTTTAATACATCTGAATACCGAGAACATCAGCATTAGACTGGGAGGGAGGAAAGGAGGGGTGCTGCTTTAATACATCTGAAGCATTAGACTGAGAGGGAAGAAAGAAGGGGTGCAGCTTTAATATATCTGAAGCATTAAGACTGGGAGGGAGGAAAGGAGGGGTGCAGCTTTAATACATCTGAATACCGAGAACATCAGCATTAGACTGAAAGGGAGGAAAGGAGGGGTGCTGCTTAGAACAGGAGCTTAACATTGGGGGATAGTCCAGTGATGCAGGTTGTCAGTGTTTGTCGTTGAACGCCGCACTCAGCAATGTTCCAGCTATGTGAAGGCTGTCTGTAAATAACCGAGTCTGGACCAGACAATCAGTGACTGACATCAAGAGCATCGACCTACACAATTGGGATACGATGACCTGCATCAACCAAGTCAGCGAGCCTGACCACCCCATCCCTAGTCACATCGTACAACAAGCATAGTTGCCTATAAAGAAAAGTAAGGGTTGCAGAAGACGTATCCGAACCCGGATCTACACGGTTCAGGTTGTCTGAATGTGTGAATTGTGTGACCTACTGGTAGGTGTCTAAGAAACTATGAAGACATGTACATATTGACACGGAATCTTTTCAGAAACACACATGGAATTATCCTAACAAATGTTCGGGAGCAAAGTATGAAAAGGTTCACAGACAGATTCAAGCAGTTACACATTTATCCCAAGTTGGGAAAATCTCTGATCTTGATAAGAACCAAGGCCATAGTAACCTATTACAGATAAACTAATTGCAAGGCATTTGATTTGCTAACCAAGCAAGTATGTTCATGTTTATGTTTCCACGTATCATAAACATGGTGAAACAGGGATTAAAACCCATATCTATCTGTAGATCATGACGGCAAAGGGAAGCAACTCTGCACACCAACAATTTTGAAAGTGGAACTGGGAATGAAATGAACATTGTAGGCATAGATTATTACTTTCCATACTGCAGCATCGTGGTTTTCTCGTTTCTTCCCGAGACTCCCCAATCAATATCCTCATTCCATGAAAACCAGGAGGAAACCATTCACATCTTGTGTGGCAAAATCAAAACCAAATACTTTTCAGTGTCTAATTAATCTACGACAGCCAGCTCATTATGAACAGAAGTAATTTCACGGTTGATCCACCGTGATGCAGTTTGGCTTGTTTCTGTGTTGCATCCATGTGGGGGGGCCAGAAATGTGTGCATAACATCTACACTCGCTAATATCACAAATTCCTGGAATTCAGTCGAGTTCAATTTGGGCACTTTTTAGTCAAATAACTCATTTTCCTTGGTACAAACAGAGAAATATATGTCATAAGACAATCCCATCAGTCAGGCTTGTCCTGACCTGCAGACAATATTTGAAGCAGACAATATCAGTAGCAGAAAAGCTTCAAAGCTGTGATCAGACATAAGTAGTGGTGTTCAAATTAATTGAAACAATTGTAAAAGATCAAGAAGATCCATGAATGATTTTGGCCCCCTCTCGAGTTGGCAACTATTCTTATGGTGTAACCGCCTCTGTGTTCTAGCACCGCCTCTGTGGTCTAGCAGAAGGTTTGGGGATTCATCCCCAGCTGCGTCATACCAAAAAAGACGCAGGCATGCGCAAAATGCGCTCGGCATTAAGGGGCTAAAAGCAGGACTGGTCAGCTCAGAGTCAGTATACTGTGTCTGAGTGGGGTATGCATGTTAAACTGCGGCAGAGGGCTAGCACTTTAAGATCGGCATCAGTCCTGACTAGTACAAGCAGACACATGTGCATGCACATTGCTGTAACAGTGCAATAATCTTGGACGCGACGTTAAACCCTATTTCACCTCACCCTACCTTAAGGTGTATTCAGTACATAGTACTCGGACAAGTGAGAACCACTTCCGGGCACGAGCAATAATACTTACACATGGCCTCCTTCCGGGAAAGCAAGTGCCATCAGGTTGCGGGCTTGTTCGATCCCTATCAACAACATCTTCTCGACACCTTCGTACCTGGAACAAAAAGCAGCACTTTAAAACAAAGTCCGGAGTAACAGCATCAAGAAAAACAGAGTACCATCACATTATGCAGAAAACAGCATCACAATTGCCAGATATCAAATAACAATTGACCGATATCAGCATCACAATTGACAGATATCAAATAACAATTTACTGATATCAGCATAAAAATTGACAGTTATCAGCATAACAATTGACCGATATCAGCATAACATTTGACCGATATCAGCATAACAAATGACAGATATCAGCATAACAATTGACTGATATCAACATAACAAATGACCGGTATCAGCAAAACAACTGACCGATGTCACAATCACAATTCACAGCTAACAATTAGGCAGATGAGTGAGGGGGATATTGTCTACAATAGTATTTTATTGGACAATTTTCATGGAGTCCGGGAAGACCATTGCTTGTAACTATGATCAGGCCATATGCTTTCTGACTCAACATGCAACTGAATGACAAAAGGAAATTGACTTTTGTAATGATTTGGTCTTCCAAATCCATGAACAAGACAAGATGGATTCATAATTATTTGTACAAGAGTAAAAAGACCAAACAGAAAAACACAATTTCGAACAAGCAGTTTACAGAATCTCTGTGTGTAGACGTCATCGTCTGTGTTGAAGTAGTTGGTGGTATGTAGGAGTCATGGCAGATCACCATGACATAGGTCAGTGAAAACTCATCTCCCCCCAATAATAACACATGACACACATTCCTACCATTTCATCTCAAACCACAGGAAACAAACCAAGAAAGATGCAACCTGGTAAAGTGCATGTGCGTCTCTCTGAACCCTTGGAGTAGGCCTTATATTGAATTACATAGCTCGGCAGACACTGGAATCTGTCCAATACCTTTGCCCAGCAATGTACAGAAAACAGCATCTTTCCACCAGAACCAGCAATCAAAAATGATATTCACAACAAATCCAGAAAAACATTTCAAATTATCAAACATCTTTTAAACCCTGAACATCTCAAAAAGGAAAAGCGCTCCCTCCCTGTCTCTGACAATTCTATTTCTCCGGTCAGTAGGTGCTCTGTTCATCGGCAGCAAGACTCAAAGACGAACCAGGCAGAAGAGTGTGCATCACAAAATACACGCCTTCGGCTTGTTGCCAAGATCTGCACCGAGGAGAGGCGACAGTTTATCGCACAATAATGGCGGAATGGTCCTGCCCATGGGGGAGTCTGCTCCATGATCTATAGTGGAGAATCAGGTACACAGGTACTGCTTACCGATTTCTAAGGAAATATGAATCATAGCTCAGTGTCAAGGTGTCCCATTAGAAGGTGTCCCTTAGTCAAACTGAACATGAGGCAGCCCTGACTTTACACTACTCTTGACGAAATGAGTTAACGAGGGAGGGGGTCCTCAAATTGGCTTAACACAATACCGTATTCGACGTAATAAGCGCCCAGGGTGCTCTCAAAATTAGAAATAGGGGGCTCTTATTAGAATATTATTTTGAGTTGAAAGATCGTAAATTTCGTGGTTTATGCTGACAGCCTGAAATGTTTATATACGACAGAAATATTTTTCCAGGATTTAATTGCCCATAATTAAGGGTGCATATAACATATGAGTGCGTATTATACACAAATAAATAAGTCTTGTGTACGTAAATCACTTGGAAGGGGTGCTAATTGAGATTGTTCACTAGCCAATATATTGGGAAATATCGCCGTGGGCGCTTATTAGAGCAGGGCGCTTATTACGTCGAATACGGTAACCATATTGAGAACTGAACCTGGCATGACATTGAAATGCTCTGAGACGGTCAACACAGAACATCCTCAAAGTGACAGTGCAGATCACACTGACATGGGAAACAGTGCGTGAGTGAGTGAGTGGGGTTTAAGGCCGTTTTAAATAAACAGTATTCCAGTTTTACCACAGGGTGTCAGCTTAATGCGAGAGGAAAGCCGGAAGTGACGTAGTTCTCACTTTTATCATGTAGGTGAAACCCATGAGCACGGGTATGGTGCTATCAAACCTAGATGCACAGTAGGTGAGTGAGTGAATGAGTGAGTGAGTGAGTGAGTGAGTGAGTGAGTGAGTGAGTGAGTGAGTGAGTGAGTGAGTGAGCAAAATCTGGAAAAGCACAACAAGTGGTTGGCATTAATCGGCAACGATTCATGCTGCTCGTACATCGATACACACGGTTGGCGTGCCATGTCAATAAACCAGCCCGATCACACACAGGCATCAGCTGATTCTCAATTATGACAAGCATAGGGTACAGACTGCACACCTACTCTGCCCCTGAATACTGACAGGGATCAACTCCAGTAAATGTAACCACTACACCCACAGTGTTGCTACACAACAGCAAGAAAAGGCACGTTTAACTGTGACAGAATTATTCAAAACCCTACACCACATTGAAAGCATCATCACGGAAAGAGAATGAAAATTAAATTGGAGTTATATAAACAAAAGTACTATCATATTTCAAACCCACTCGGAAAAACAAACAGCACTGAATATTGAAGCACATGCTATTAAAGAAAGCGAGAGAACTATTTCTGTCTGTACAGTGCAGACACCATGAATGTATGACAGTGTGTCTGGCACGGCACCAAGGCATGCACACCGGCTCGTGGCCAACACCGATAGAACGGCATACAGGGACTGGGTTACTATGTTCCGCTCAGAAAACAATCCACACTCATTCCGTAACCGCAATGTCCGATTTTTTTAATTTTGGAGATGCTGGCTGCAAGTTTGCCAAGATTGAGGTACAGAGGCATCTTCTTCAGTGTGACTCATGCTGTCTGAGACTGTATTCCTCGGTGCTGGAAGTCCATCAGTGTCTGGCGCCACCGCCAGCTTTACCATATTCCTTATAATCAACACCATGTCATATATAGTGAGGTGATATCATATTCCTCAATATCAACACCTTGTCATATATTGTGAAGTTTATACATCATCTGGTCAGCTGATCATGTACCACATACTGGTAATTAACACCCCAACACAGCTGACATACCATATTCCTTATAATCAACACCTTGTCATAAATATAATGAGGTTTATATACCACACTCCTTATAATCAACACCCTGTCATATATATAATGAGTTTTTTATACCATGTTCCCTATAATCAACGCCCTGTCATGTATAATGAGGTTTCTATACCATATTCCTTATAATCAACACCCTGTCATATATATAATGAGGTTTCTATACCATATTCCTTATAATCAACACCCTGTCATACATAGTGAGTAGGACCTGTTGTTAGTCACTTCATGATCAGATTGTTTTATACATGTATCTAGTTTCTGCTAGGACTCCAGTAAAACAATTCCCAATCGGACATTTTGTACCCAACACTTGAAACCTACAGCTTGTACCAGGGTAGGGTAGGGTAATAGGGGGCCAGATACCTGGGTAATAAATTTAGACTCGTCCAAGCCCTACGTCGTATATGTACATATCCCAGATGCAAAAAGGGCAATGAGTTATTGATAAATACCCCAGAGATTGTTGTTTGTTGTCTAACACAGTGGCCTGTAAATATTCAAGTTTGGACCAGAGAAACCAGTGGTTGATATCATGAGCATCACCCAATGCCATCTGTACAGGATGCTATGCAATCAACCAAGCCTGACCATCTCTGCATTTAGTTGCCTGCTAGCATAGGCTGGAGACCTATTATTTTCCAGAACACCAAGGGGTTCTAACCCTTGGATCAAGTGATGGGCGAAACCTTGGCAAGTTGTTCTGCCTCTCATCAACAAGCTCATTTTCTAAATATTTCCCACGCTTCACTGTAAAGTTGTTCTTGAACGCAGCAAAAGGATGAGTCAACATTGTTCAACATTGCCATTATTTTTAGACGATAATATACAGAAGAAACAACCTTGTCCTTACTTGAAGCCACTGGATGAGTGAGTGGACCTGATTTAACACTGCTTTAACAGTACCTCAGATTATGTCAGTCAAAGGATGAGGTGAGGTGAGGTGAAATGGGGTTTAACGTCGCGTCCAAGATTATTCCACTTATATAGCGACGTGTGTGTGTGTGTGTGTGTGTGTGTGTGTGTGTGTCCGGGCGGACGCTCTACCACAAGACCACGGAGGCGGCCCAGTCAAAGGATGAACAAAGAAACAAAAGTACCATCACACCATGGAAAACAATGACAAAAAAACCAACATTTGACAACCAAAAAGAAATATGTAATGCAGAGATGCCAAACCTATTTGAAGCTTTGAAGTAATCAGTTGGGTAAAAATAAGTAATTTCATTAAAAAAGAGTATTTTTAACTTTTTCTGTAATCACCCTTGAGAATCTCTAATACCGGTTTTAACATTGACATTTTTGTTAGGCCTAGATGTATGTGAAATATGTGGTCAAAGCTCCAATTCATCACATGACTGTTTTTCAGAACGACAATGTGGTGTTTTGAGTTCTGAAGTAAAAACAAGTATACATGCAATTAGTTCCCTGTCTGCACCAGCAAGGAACGATCCATAAAATGACTTGAGTTTGTTTAAAGATTACAACGAATCAGAGACCTTGTATCATCAAGTAATGGATATTTGAACACTATGTGAATGGAAAACATGGCTCTCATTGGTCAGAATAGTTTAATCAATTTGATCTCCCTGATATTACATCGTAATTATTGTTAAATATTAGTGAAAAAATAATGACAAAAGTCGTAATTTGGGGGAGGAATAGCGGAAATAGCAGAATTTTAGTTTGAAAATTGTAACTATCACTCCACAATCGTAATGACTGGCATCTCTGCATGGCATGTTGAAAGGAAGAGTGTGTGAATAAGTTGAGTTTAAACAGTATTTCACTCCTATCACTGTGCGACAGCATAGTTGGAGGGAAAGCCTCAAAGTAGATGTAGATGTTTACCATGGAAATCTATATTTAGGATACAGATAATAAATCACAACCACACAAACATCAGATCCTGGTACTGCAAAGGGACGCAACTCTTCCATTTGGGCACAGATAGGCATTCTGTAGCCCAAGTTACTCTATTATCAACAACTTCTACCAAAGTTCTCGCTTTAGGATTCCTTGCAAGAACATACCAATGACGTTCATACAGATATTTACACATCACGCTTATGAAATACTGAAGAGGAATCCATAACATAGACCTTGTAAATGGTCAACTTAAGTACAAGGGAACAGGCAGGAAATCAGAGTAACCATTCTGAAGAACCAGTACTGGCAGCAGGAAGTGGAACAATGAGAACATATTTCACAGGCTTACACACTGTTCATATCACTAGCAACTTCCTTGTTGGAAAACTTCAAACCAACCAAACTATGAATCACTTTCAGCGGATTACTAACCACTTGGGAATGTAATAAACATAAATACTGTCTAAATGCACAGCAATAAATAATAATTCCAGTCAGTTGTATAATAAACTGGTGAGCGAAGGTAACCTTTCTCCTGCGGTAGCTCTTACACTGGAAAACACTGTGTGACCACAAGGCTTGCAAATTATTTTCTAATAGATAACCTTGATAGTTCAGACAGTGTACTGGAACACACATGTACATCACTAGATTTGCTAATTATTGCTTAATAGTAAAACTTGATAGTCCAAATTGATACTGAATACTTGATACTGAACCATAAAATGTTGACTGCTAGTCTTGGTGCATATCTCAAAATGATAACCAGTTTGATATTCACACAGTAATACATTGACAATCTAACAACCAACACTGATGACATCGACCTAGTGCTGATATACAGAGTAATACATTGACAATCTCACAACTAACATTGATGACATCGACCTAGTGCTGATATACAGAGTAATACATCGTACTCTGACAACCATCACTGATGACATCGACCTAGTGCGGATATACAGAGTAACACACTGTACTCTCACAACCAACACTGATGACATCGACCTAGTGCTGATTTACAGAGTAATACATTGTACTCTCACAACCAACACTGATGACATTGACCTAGTGCTGATATACAGAGTAATACATTGTACTCTCACAACCAACACTGATGACGTCAACCTAGTGCTGATATACAGAGTAACATACTGTACTCTCACAACCAACATTGATGACATCGACCTAGTGCTGATATACAGAGTAATACATTGTACTCTCACAACCAACACTGATGACATCGACCTAGTGCTGATATACAGAGTAATACATTGTACTCTCACAACCAACATTGATGACATCGACCTAGTGCTGATATACAGAGTAATACATTGTACTCTCACAACCAACACTGATGACATCGACCTAGTGCTGATATACAGAGTAATACATTGACAATCTCACAACCAACATTGATGACATCGACCTAGTGCTGATACACAGAGTAATACATTGTACTCTCACAACCAACACTGATGACATCGACCTAGTGCTGATATACAGAGTAATACATTGACAATCTCACAACCAACATTGATGACATCGATCTAGTGCTGATATACAGAGTAATACATTGTACTCTCACAACCAACACTGATGACATCGACCTAGTGCGGATATACAGAGTAATACATTGTACTCTCACAACCAACACTGATGACATCGACCTAGTGCTGATACACAGAGTAATACATTGTACTCTCACAACCAACACTGATGACATCGACCTAGTGCTGATATACAGAGTAATACATTGACAATCTCACAACCAACATTGATGACATCGACCTAGTGCTGATATACAGAGTAATACATTGTACTCTCACAACCAACACTGATGACATCGACCTAGTGCGGATTTACAGAGTAATACATTGACAATCTCACAACCAACATTGATGACATCGACCTAGTGCTGATATACAGAGTAACACATTGTACTCTCACAACCAACACTGATGACATCGACCTAGTGCGGATATACAGAGTAACACATTGTACTCTCACAACCAACACTGATGACATCGACCTAGTGCGGATTTACAGAGTAATACATTGACAATCTCACAACCAACATTGATGACATCGACCTAGTGCTGATATACAGAGTAACACATTGTACTCTCACAACCAACACTGATGACATCGACCTAGTGCGGATATACAGAGTAACACATTGTACTCTCACAACCAACACTGATGACATCGATCTAGTGCTGATATACAGAGTAACATACTGTACTCTCACAACCAACATTGATGACATCGACCTAGTGCTGATATACAGAGTAATACATTGTACTCTGACAACCAACACTGATGACATCGACCTAGTGCGGATATACAGAGTAACACACTGTACTCTCACAACCAACACTGATGACATCGATCTAGTGCTGATATACAGAGTAATACATTGTACTCTCACAACCAACACTGATGACATCGACCTAGTGCTGATATACAGAGTAATACATTGTACTCTCACAACCAACATTGATGACATCGACCTAGTGCTGATATACAGAGTAATACATTGTACTCTCACAACCAACACTGATGACATCGACCTAGTGCTGATATACAGAGTAATACATTGTACTCTCACAACCAACATTGATGACATCGACCTAGTGCTGATATACAGAGTAATACATTGTACTCTCACAACCAACACTGATGACATCGACCTAGTGCGGATATACAGAGTAATACATTGTACTCTCACAACCAACACTGATGACATCGACCTAGTGCGGATATACAGAGTAACACATTGTACTCTCACAACCAACACTGATGACATCGATCTAGTGCTGATATACAGAGTAACATACTGTACTCTCACAACCAACATTGATGACATCGACCTAGTGCTGATATACAGAGTAATACATTCTACTCTCACAACAAACATTGATGACATCGATCTAGTGCTGATATACAGAGTAACACACTGTACTCTCACAACCAACACTGATGACATCGATCTAGTGCTGATATACAGAGTAATACATTGTACTCTCACAACCAACACTGATGACATCGACCTAGTGCTGATATACAGAGTAATACATTGTACTCTCACAACCAACATTGATGACATCGACCTAGTGCTGATATACAGAGTAATACATTGTACTCTCACAACCAACACTGATGACATCGACCTAGTGCTGATATACAGAGTAATACATTGTACTCTCACAACCAACATTGATGACATCGACCTAGTGCTGATATACAGAGTAATACATTGTACTCTCACAACCAACACTGATGACATCGACCTAGTGCGGATATACAGAGTAATACATTGTACTCTCACAACCAACACTGATGACATCGACCTAGTGCGGATATACAGAGTAACACATTGTACTCTCACAACCAACACTGATGACATCGATCTAGTGCTGATATACAGAGTAACATACTGTACTCTCACAACCAACATTGATGACATCGACCTAGTGCTGATATACAGAGTAATACATTCTACTCTCACAACAAACATTGATGACATCGATCTAGTGCTGATATACAGAGTAACACACTGTACTCTCACAAGCAACACTGATAACATCGACCTAGTGCTGATATACAGAGTAATACATTGTACTCTCACAACAAACATTGATGACATCGACCTAGTGCTGATATACAGAGTAATACATTGTACTCTCACAACAAACATTGATGACATCGACCTAGTGCTGATATACAGAGTAATACATTGTACTCTCACAACCAACACTGATGACATCGACCTAGTGCTGATATACAGAGTAACACATTGTACTCTCACAACAAACATTGATGACATCGACCTAGTGCTGATATACAGAGTAATACATTGTACTCTCACAACCAACATTGATGACATCGACCTAGTGCTGATATACAGAGTAATACATTGTACTCTCACAACAAACATTGATGACATCGACCTAGTGCTGATATACAGAGTAATACATTGTACTCTCACAACAAACATTGATGACATCGACCTAGTGCTGATATACAGAGTAATACATTGTACTCTCACAACCAACACTGATGACTTCGACCCGCTGTTGATACACTGTGTACTTTATCAACTCCACAACAACACAGTATCACTTACTTGAGCTTTATCTGGATCTGTGCACTTTCCAGATTTGTTTCTAGCACCTCATCGATCACACCAGTCCTGCAACATCAACACAACCCATTAACGATATATCATGTATTATGTGCACCATAATCTGCACCATCACTCTTACCAGTCACTTGATAGTCGTACAAGGTGTCAAAATTCAACACTGACAAAAACACATCAATCAAGATGAATCCACTCATGAGTGGTTGGGGCACCAGTTGGGCAGGACATGCTTATCCTTCTTGTGAACACCTTTTGTCCTCACTCACTTTCAGTGATCTATTTCTATCATTTTCAGCACCATTTTGCCTTTTACGGACAATGAAAGCTGTTTCGACGGATAATCAAGATGGTTATTCTCAGGCATTGATCTTAAATTGAGATACAGTAAACTACGGTTATAACGAACCCAAAGGGACCACTGATTTTAGTTCGTTATAACCGTAGTTCATTATAGAGCACATATAGAGCATAACTATAGCAAACAATCAGGACAGTCAGGACAACAACAAAAAAGTTTGTTATACCTGCTAGTTCGTTATTTTAATGTGTTCATTATAAACGTAGTTTACGCTATATCAATAGTGTCTTGTTCCACATAGTTTCATAAGATAATGAGCGTTGCATGCAAATCTCATAATTTTATGTTTAGGTGTGATTTCATTTGTTTTCACTGGATGTTCTATAATATACATGCCAAAAACTATCTAACAAGATATTTCTAAATTAAGTCCACAAAAACAAGAATCACTGATGTTAGAAAACTAGATCACAGAGGAAATAGACAAACATTTTAAAATGACTTTGGAAATACTTGATTCTGATTGGTCAATCCAAAGTTTGAAATCAAATTAGAACATCTCAAATCTAGTTGATGTTGCTCTTAATTGAAAACAGTATGCTTAACACCTATGAGACACACCTGATCACAAACACTGGTATTTATTTCAAAACCTGTTGCTACTTCGGTAACACAAAACCTGTTGCTACTTCAGTAACACAAAACCTGTTGCTACTTCAGTAACACAAAACCTGTTGCTACTTCAGTAACACAAAACCTGTTGCTACTTCAGTAACACAAAACCTGGTGCTACTTCAGTAACACAAAACCTGTTGCTACTTCAGTAACAAAACCTGTTGCTACTTCAGTAACACAAAACCTGTTGCTACTTCAGTAACACAAAACCTGTTGCTACTTCAGTAACACAAAACCTGTTGCTACTTCAGTAACACAAAACCCGTTGCTACTTCAGTAACACAAAACCTGGTGCTTCTTCAGTAACACAAAACCTGTTGCTACTTCAGTAACACAAAACCTGTTGCTACTTCAGTAACACAAAACCTGTTGCTACTTCAGTAACACAAAACCTGGTGCTACTTGTCGCTACTTCAGTAACACAAAACCTGTTGCTACTTCAGTGACACAAAACCTGTTGCTACTTCAGTAACACAAAACCTGTTGCTACTTCAGTAACACAAAACCTGTTGCTACTTCAGTAACACAAAACCTGGTGCTACTTGTCGCTACTTCAGTAACACAAAACCTGTTGCTACTTCAGTGACACAAAACCTGTTGCTACTTCAGTGACACAAAACCTGTTGCTACTTCAGTAACACAAAACCTGTTGCTACTTCAGTAACACAAAATCTGAAGATGAAACATCCTGATGAGCGTGCTATCACCTGACATCCACATGGCAGACATATTTCAGGAGATCGGAGATTTTTAATTTCAAAACAAGTCTCCTCCCCAAGAGCCGGCTGAGATGAAGGCTTCAGCGGTCCCAACTTGAGTTCCCATCACAATGTTTATACACCATGTGGAACTAACAGGTCAGTCAAGTGCTCCAAACCAATACCAGAAATCAGGCTTCACAAAGCCCCCAAATTCCCTGATAACCATCTTGAACCAGCAATGGGGGTCTACTGCCACAGCTGTTCACAGCCTGTAGCTTGATTGTAGATACTGTCAGCCACTAGGCAACCATTGTTCAACCAACATTTCCACTTTCTCATGACATAAACTTGCTTTTAATATGGGAAAATGTCAGCATTTGAATGTGATAAGGTGAGTGGCTATTGTTTTATGCCACTGTTAACAATAGTCCAGTCATATCATGGCAGGACACAAGTTGGCTTCACATGCATGGGGAATCAAACACACTCCCTCATCATGATAGGCCAACGTTTATACCACTATGCCACCCCCATTGCCCGAAAAGGGACATAACTCCCAAACAATAAGTCATCATACAATACTGAGTGACTTTTTACAGAATGTTTCTCTTCCAAAATAATAACTGCATACTCAGATACAAAATCTACGCAGTAATATAGTTTGCACATGATACAATTACGACCGATCATCATGTCTTGCCTCAATAAACACAGGCAACAAGCTACACAAATCTCAGAGGACATCCCATTACAGGTCATGTCAGAATGACCTTTCGCCCAACCAATCAGAGTGTCGCTTACAAGGTCACGAAGTAAAAGACTGAATGTGGTTTTTTTTATCATGAAAGCTCGAAAAGGTTAACACAGGTATTCCATTACTGCTGTACAACCGACTCTGAATGCTGGACACTGTTTATTTCTTGATTGAACATGTTCAGTGGGATAAATATTCGAAACAAGACTTTTCATTGCCCATAAAGTACTGCCCTACAATCTCAGCCATCTGTCAGACATTCCAGAATTTTCTTGTCTTTTCAGTTTTCAAACTTTGAATCGAGGATTTTGTCAAAATATGTTTCAAATCGTGGTTTTTGAAACTAAGGCAGTAAACCTTGTGAAAGATGCTTTCTGATTGGCTAATGTCGACTTCCTGTATGTGATTTCATTGGTCATTCAAAGTTCATTAAAGGTCATTCTGATGTGACCTGTAATGGGATGTCCTCAGATCTTTGGTCTGGCGGTATTATGCGCTAAGATCTGAATTTAATGAGATTGCACTAAGACCTGAGATGACTCATGATGGTAGATGTAAAAACACTGGGGAAAAATACCTGTAAAAGAAGACAAGGAAATCCTTTCTTAAATCCTTTTAGCATCATTGCATAAACATCAAAGGGAAAACACTAATATGGTTTTACTGTTCCCTTGTTGGGAATAGGTGAGTTGAAATGGGGTTTAACGTCGCGTCAAAGATTATTGCACTTATATAGCGACGTGCATGCACGTGTGTGTGTGGCTGCTTGTACTAGCCTGGACTAATGCCGACTTATAGTGCTAGCTCACTGAGATACCATGCCGCAGTTTAACATGGATACCCCACTCAGACACAGTATACTGACTCCGAGCTGACCAGTCCTTGTTTTAGCCCCTTAATGCCGAGCGCCAGACAGGGTAACAACAAGTACCATCTTTTAACGTCTATTGGTATGACGCGGCCGGGGATCGAACCCCGGACCTTCCTCTCTCCGGGCGGACGCTCTACCACTAGACCACTGAGGCAGTCTTTGTTGGGAATAAAGCATCTCTGACAGGCAACTGATCTTACCATTTGGCTACCTCACATCATCTTCAATAGGAATGGAACCCTGAAACTTTAGCTCAAGGCCACAATCAACACAATCCAAAGCTGACATTTATCACACAGAAGCCTATTCCTGAAAAAGGTGTTTGAAGAACATTTGCATCATATTGTTGTTGAAATTGAGTTGATACTGACCTTTTGACCGATGCTTCGAACACCCCACTGTCACCAGCCACAGACTCATCACTCACTGCTGCAGAAACACTCCGCGTATTTCCGCCAGACAAATTGTTGCACACACCGGAACTACTTTCACTGATTGGACTAAGAGGAGGGTTAGATGTGGAGTCCAAGTTCTCTAATCCTTGTGAACGTTTTGAGTTTATTTCACCACTCTCCGCTAGTAAAGATTGCGGAACCATCTGTCCAACAACTGGCACTCTAGTCCGAGAGTTTTCTACCCTAGGGTATTGTGGAGAATTTTCCATTAATTTTGATTGATCGCAGTTCGTTAGCGGTTGCCCACCAACCATCCAGTTGCCACCCAGGCTCACATGACGTTGCCGTTCCACGGCACTCATGTGCTGCTCGTAAGTGGGCGGGGGAACTATTTCCATGGGCATATAAGGAGACACTGGCGGCGACGTTGATGAAAATGAGGATTTGGGGGACACCGATTTAACTGAAGGCACTTTATCCCCTGTTGCCATGACACTATGTAGATAATTCCCCGTCGCTGCCGCTGTTATGTCCAAGTTGGACATTTGCGGAATGACCGCTTCCTGAATTGGGGCCATCACATGACCCTGCAGAAGTTTCTCAACACGTTGATGAAGGTCCTGTAAATTAATATCACTTCCACTTTGGCTCTGATTGTAAATGTCCATAGCACTGAGGGAGTTGAGGGACCCCAGGCTGCTGGCCGAGAGAGACCCTAGGGATCCCAGGCTCGACCCCGAGGACATTGACAACGTGCTCAGCGACAAGCTGAAACATAACATGAACAGATTTAAGTCTTGACAAGCAAGCATCATCATGGAATGAGTGAATGTTGTTTTGTGCCAAATCAGCAATATTCCAGTCATATCATGGCAACATTTTAATCGGAAAAATCTGGACCACAAAAAAAGTGACTGAAAACATGAGCAATGGTGCAAGCCTGACCATCCAATCCCCATTTTAGACAACTTTTAAGACAAGCATGATGTAATGGGGGCCAATCCTACACCTGGAATCCCTTAAGGGTTCTGTCATTATGTTCTTGTCACGTTTTAAGGAAGTTGCAGGGAAGTGTTAGTACATACAGTGAGTGAGTTAGATTAACACAGCTAAGAGCAGTATTCCAGCTCTATGAGTGAGTGAGTGAGTATGGTTTTACGCCGCTTTCAGCAATATCATGGCGGGGGACACCAGAAATGGGCTTCACACATTGTACCCATGTCGGGAATCGAACCCGGGTCTTCGGCGTGACGAGTGAACGCTTTAACCACTAGGCTACCCGACCACCCTTCAGCTCTGTGAAGACGTGTCAGTTTCATTTAGGATGAAAGCCGGAAGTGAGGCAGGTCTCAGACATTTACAACTTTGGTAAAACCCACAAGCACAATCATGTGTTCCTGGAGTGCCCAAGGGAAACAACTCAGGACAGCAAATTGCATGGTCTTAGATGACTGGGCCACCCATGTCCTGATAGTAGGTATAAATCTTGCTTTCATAAGTATCACCTTACCAGGTAACACCCACACAGATTTGGGAGTCAAACCCAAGAGTAAGCATCAGTCAGAGAAGATGATGCCACACTGAGCAATATATCAGCTATATATTCCATCTGGACCTGACAAACAAGTGATCTCACACCGCCAGGGTATGATGACACGCAGTCAGTCACAAAGCCAGCCCACTGATGTATTTTGTTGTCTCGTACGACCAGCCTAGATTGCTCCAGACCTCCCGAACCACGAATTCCTATGGGCATCGACAGTAACAACACTCACCTCTTCAGCTGTGTCTCAAGGTACGATGTTAACTTGGTGGTCTCCGAAAGTTGATGCATCACAGTAACCTTCTCATTGTTTAGTTTTAATCTGAAATGTCGAGAAAATTGTAGATAAAAACTTCCATTTGTTTGCCATTTTTCAGTTAAGATTATGCAACAAATTATTCAGGCATGTTTATCCAAAATCAGATTGTTCAATCATGATAATCACAGTGAGCGGACTGTCAGATTATATACAACCCACAGCGGCATGTGAGCAATCAAGCCTGAAATAACATACCAGTTGCTGACATTATGAGCAATGATTTGCAGTGTCGGAGCATGATGACCCACAATCAGCCAGATCAACCAGGGTCATCCCTGGCTCTTGTGTGGTGAGGTGATATGGGGTTTAACGTTGTGGTGTGGTGTGGTGTGGTGTGGTGTGGTGTGGTGTGGTGTGTGTGGTGTGTGATAGTCAGGACTAATGCCTTTTTTATAGTGCTAGCCCACTGAGAGACAATGCAACAGTTTCTCTTGCATACCCCTCCTAGACACAGTATACAACCAGTCCTTGCTTTATCCCATTGAAAGCTGAGCAACAGGGGCATAGTAACAACAAGTATCATTTTTTAATGTCTTTGGTATGACGTGGCAGGGAATCAAAACCTGACCTTCCTCTCTCCGGGTAGAAACACTAATGACAAAACATGAAGTACCAGAGACCTAGTCTGTACCGGACTCAGGCCAGTAAGTAACAGACTCGTTTCCTACCTCTCTGCTATCTGCTTGTTGGAGATCGCCAGAGCATGGTTGATGTCATATTTCAACTGTGCTATACGCTGTTGTATTTTGGCCAGCTCACTCTCACTGCGACCTTTGGGGTCAATACTTCTTAATTCACGTAGCAACTGTTCCTTCTCCTGCAGTAACAACAATCTGTAGAAACAAAAACATAATTGACAGACACATAAAAAAGGTGAGGTGAGGTGAAATTGGATTTAACATCGCGTCCAAGATTATTGCACTTATATAGCGACGTGCATGTGTGTGGCTGCTTGTAATAGTCCGGACTGATGCCGATTAATAGTGCTAGCTCACTGAAATACCATGCCGCAGTTTAACATGAATACCCCACTCAGACACAGTATACTGACTCCGAGCCGACCAGTCCTTGTTTTAGCCCCTTAATGCCAAGCGCTAGACAGGGTAACAACAAGTACCATCTTTTAACGTCTTTTGGTATGACGCGGCCAGGGATCGAACCGCTCTCCGGGCAGACGCTCTACCTCTAGACCACAGAGGCGGTCCACATTAAAAAAGGGGTTATTCTGTTTATCAAGACTTTCAGAAAGGACCATCTCCTTCTACTTGATGAAGCAGTGAACAAACAAACACCTCCCTCTTCCACTCTTAACGGAAGAAGTGAGGTCGGCTTTAGTCATGTCACAGTATCAACAAGCCTGGGTATGGTTCTGACAAACCAATGATCAGTATCAGAAGTTGGGATTCAAACCCAAGATCAGAAGAGATTACAGTACCTCTAAGGAGAGAAACTCCAGAATTGCATAGCCTTGGACCTCTTGTACACCAATAGCCACAGCTCTATCAGGAGAGAGTGAGTATGGTTTTATGCCGCTTTTAGCAATATTCCAGCAATATCATGGCAGGGGACACCCAACCTTATCAGGAATAATAATCAATATATAAAAAAAAAATTAATTGGATAAATTCCTTCCTTCCTGAATGTTTGTTGTTTAACGCCACACTCAGCAATATTCCAGCTGTATGATGGCAGCCTGAAATAATCAAGCCTGGACCAGACAATCCAATGATAGATATTGTGAGTAGCGTTTCATGCCATCGGGGTACAGTGACACCCGATACATTAAGTCTCCTCTTACGCCCAGCAAAGGTTGGTTGGGACCAATTCTTGGCCGGCATTGCCACAGGGTCAACCCTGATTGACGTACCTGTCTTTGTCGCACTCGGTCTGTCCGGGGATCATCTGATCTTCCACCTTGGCAAGCTGAACCTTGAGTTGACTGAGTTTCCGTCGGGCCTCATCATACTGGAGACGCAGCCGCGTCTTCTCCGCAAAGATTCGACTCTGATTCAAACCAAACTGAAATTGCATGATTTGTGAGAAATGCCACAACATCATCTGACTTAGCTGACAGTGGGACTGGGTAATACGCCGTGAACTCATCCTTGATGTCATGAATAGTTTGTTGTTAAAGCTATATGACGGCGGTCTGTAAATGATTTGAGTCTGGACCAGACAATCAAGTGATTGACATAATGAGCATTGATCTACACAATTGAGATACGATGACATGCATCAGCCAAGTCAGCAAGCATGACCACACCTCTTACGACAAGCACATGTTGCTGAACACCAGTTCTAACCCAGATTTTCATCGGGTTCTTGATTAGTTCTATGCCCAAAATTTAAGGTCAGTATATATGGAATATTTTACATAAAAATTTCAAATTCAAATACATTTTTTTTCATTTCCTCAAATTGTTGAAGGTAGAAAAGGAGAAAGAAAAAATTGGGGTGGGAGGTATAAGGGAAGACACACAGGATTTGAAGCAATTTGTCATAATTCTTTTTGTTTTGAAGTTAAGATACCATCACAGCAATGAAGTACTGGCGACACTCACATTATTGGTGAGAAACCGTTATAGAAGTGATCTACTGGGGACACCATTTAATGGTGAGATATCGGAGGTATAAAAGATAAATTTTAGAGTTACCTCCCTTCTGTTGACGACACAAGATTTGTAGCAATTCATCACAATTCTTTTTGTTTTGAAGTTAAGATACCATCACAGCAATGAAGTACTGGCGGAACTCACATTAATGGTACCATATAATGATACCATTATAGAAGTGATCTACTGGGACACCTTTTAATGGTGAGATATCAGCATTACAATGATCTCACCCTCTAATGGTGAGATTGCTTGTTACTCACCTCTCCTCTCAGGTCCGTCTGCGACGCCGTACTGGACCTCTCGGCAAGTGCCAATGACAGCGTTGACACGTCTGGTGAGGAGCCCCCATTCTTCCCCAGCATGAACTCTTCCTTCAACCTGGCCAGAGACTGCAACAAGAGGGATGAACTATATTACCATGTTATACAGCAGTCGCTTCCACTAAATCCATGAACGGTCCTGCTGTGACTGAGTGAGGTTTATTACCTCTATAGTGAGTGAGTATTGTTTTACGCCACTTTTAGCAATATTCCACCAATATCAAGACGGGGGACACCGAAAAATGGAGTTCACACATTGTACCCATGTGGGGAATTGAACTTTGTTTGTTTGTTGTTTAACGCCACATACAGCAATATTCCAGCTATGTGATGGCGATCTGTAAATAATCGAGTCTGGACCAGACAATCCAGTGATTTACATCATGAGCATCGATCCACACAATTGGGATACGATGACACGCATCAACCAAGTCAACGAGCCTGACCACCCGATCCCTTTAGTCGCCTTTTACGGCAAGCATGGATTGCTGAAGACCTATTCTAACCCGGATCTTCACAGGTCCTGAACCCTCCCCCTCAACGTGACGAGCAGACACTTTAACCACTAGCCCACAAACCAGCAATAGCTATGCAGGGATCACCAGAACAGAACTGTGCATGACAAGCAAACATTTACCCTCTCGACTATCCTAAAGACCTAGTGATGCAAGAGCCATTGATACATGGATGTCACCTTCTGACGAAGAACTGTGAAAAAGTGGGCAGTCAATGTGAATGGTGGGTTTGGCTGAACCCAGGTTTGAACAGTATTTCAGTTACATCAGACGATGTCAGCCTGATTGGAGAAGAAAGCCCAAAGTGATGCAGGTCTTAGACATTTGCATATTTTGATGCAGACATGAACACAGGTTTGGTGCTGACAACCCAAGAAACACAATCAATGTGAACCAGTATTCAAACCTTACATCATGATTCTGGCATGACTAAGGGACACAACTCAGCACAGCAAATTGCAGCACCTTAGAAGACTGGGCCACTGGTGCCCATGTTGTTTATTGACCTTGTACAACCTTGACATCAGACAAACCATCAACGTGGACAAGATGACAGTGTCTTTTACGATAAGTAATTTCATTTATCATCAAATACTTTTCACTTTATTTATGAAGGAGGCCTTATTTCAACATATCCTAAAAAACAATTTCAAAGCAATAATCAAAGTTCAAAACATCAAATACAGCATTTTGGTCCTCCTCACTGAGTTCAAAGTTCGAAACACTGTTTCTCCATTCATGTTATTCTGTATGTTATCTAACCTGTGCTACCTACAACCCCTTCCTCCGATTGCAATCTTCAGTTGGTCAATAAATTCAAGTAGAATGTCTCTAATTGGATCTACTACACTGTAAGAAGTGTAGTTTCTGACAAACCCCTATGAACACAGCTGTGGACCTCTTTGAGACAACTGCCAAGTTAAATTGTCAGGCACCGCAGCTTATCGGACCACATGATAGCTTCAAGGCAGCCCAAGGCTGCATTAGCATGGATTGTCTGTCCATAGTTGGTATTTATATAGGTGTATTACAGTAATGTCTGTGAAGTAAAATAACACTCACTCACTCAAATCCACCCACCATACCACAAACCAACCCTCCCACCCCTGATCCAAAGTTTTTACAAAGGTGTGTGACAATAATTTTGGAAGTTGAATAACACCCACTCACTCACTCAAAAACCCACCAACACATTCCCCAAACTCACTCACTCAAAAACCCACCAACACATTCCCCAAACTCACTCACTCATAAACCCACCAACACATTCCCCAAACTCACTCACTCATAAATGTACCTAATGAAACATTATGGCTCACAATTTACTGGTAAATAATCAAAATACTGCACGGTAAATAACTGCTTAATATTAAGATAACACACTACAAACTGAATTTACTTAGAACTCATTGAAGACTTTACCAAGTCAAAAGTTACAACACTGAGACACTCATACTTCAAGATATCAAGTTCTATAATGTTGCAACACCATATTCTTTCAGAAATCAAGTATCCACACAACTGCTCACCAAACATGAAGCCAAAAACTCTTCAAGACTGTTAAAGAGAGGCGGTGTTTATGTGATAGCGCCGAGTGGAGAGTGTGTGGTTTATCTGCGAGGGTCGGGTGCCTCACGACTTCCACCTACGCACTGTTGAAGGAGACAAGTAACACAGGTCTACAAGTGTTCCTCCCCAGATCCACACTCATTCAGAAAAACCATCATTCACCATTCTGCTGACACAGCACACATCACAGCACTGCATGAACGGAACATTACCACAACGTCTCCAGTAAATGCCCAACCCTTTTCACATTATTCCCTTTCATACATACTAAGCTTTTGATTGGGATATTTTTCTTTCCGTAATACAAAAAACTGATTCTCATAGGTCGAGAGCATATTTAAATAGAATAAAATCTGATCAACCTTGATAAAAGTGGAACAGTATATTAAGTGTTCATTTAAAATGTTAACCATATTTCATACATTCTACTCATCATAAGTATCTGAAATAATCCTTTCTTTCTATTTATGTGTAACCAGTTGTGTCCTAAATGTATCTGATGATCAGACTCGGTAATTAGCATTCCGTCGTATCCCAACTGTACAGTTTGATGTCCATGATGTCAATGGGTGGATTGAGTGAGTGAGTATGGTTTTACGCCGCTTTTAGCAATATTCCAGCAATATCATGGCGGGGGACACCAGAAATGGGCTTCACACATTGTACCCATGTCGGGAATCGAACCCGGGTCTTCGGCATGACGAGCGAACGCTTTAACCACTAGGCTACCCGACCGCCCCCAATGGCTGGATTGTCTGTCGTTCCAGATTTGACACACACAATGATGTCATATAGCTGGAATATTGCTGAGTGCAGCATTATTATACAACGCTGCTTTAAACAATCAAGACCACAAACCAAGCTAATGCTATTCATGGGACAGTCAAAATATGGAATATGTCGTATCATAAATAAATTAATTAAATTTTTATTAACATTTGAAAGTCATGACATGAGATAAGCTTATTGATATTTATGCAAATTTGCATGTGACAGTGACTATGGAGTCTGACACTTTTGTGGATGTATGAATACATCCCTTCATCTCGACGGACGAATAGCAAATCATTCAAAGAAAAACGAACAATGAATATGTGTTTACAAAACACATAATTCACTTTCCTTGACAACTACAGACATCTGAGTTGGTTACAGTTGTCATCCATCTCATCTCATCCGTAACAGCATCTTCACAAACACATTTTATGATATTTCACAGAATAAGAACTTTAGGTTTTAAGCAAGTCTGCAATTTTCAAGTTAGACTATGATAGAGAGAATACAGTGGTATATAAACCCTCATATCACCCAGGTCACATTCCCTTTGTGCAATAGATAGACAGTATGGGCACCACTCATCCAACACACACACACACACACCCCCCCCATCACATCACTCCATCCACACCCCATCCACCCACCACCACGCACATCACATCTCCCCCTCACTCCACCCACATATTCCACCCCCCAACTGCATCATACATCGATTTCATTCTTTGTTAAACATTTAAAAACTATACTTACAAACAGTTATTTATTTATTTTTTGCAAATGAGAAAAGCAGAAATTGTATCAAATAGTGTAACCAAAATATTTCCTACGCATATTGCTAAAAAAATTTTTTAATTCTCCAAAATACTGAATACTCATTTATCAAACATGCATGGATGTATGCTCCGTGCATTTGGCAAGTGTATAACATTAAACACAAGATAAAAATCACATTTTGAAATCACCCGAAATTACCGAGCATTAAAAAACGATATTGTGATACGTATCGTTGAAAGAGTGAACCTCAATATACCGGTAATATGGCGCAACCTTACACAATACAGCACGAAACAGAGACAGGAAGCTGTCACTTTCTTATTCCATAAAAGTTATAACATATACAAAGTGGTACGTTTGCTTTCTGTTGTCTGATGGCAAAGTGAAACAGTTATAAGATCGGCTTTGTTGAATCCCAGGAAAGTCAAACTAAACCCAGGAGTTGGAGACAATGGGTTAGACTGTAAACATTTAACCCTATTAAAGAAATTCATTCTCTTCCCTGTGTCCATCAAACACCAAGGTGAAGTTCGAAAAGAGTTTACTAACAATTCCAAAACAACAGATTTACAGAAATGATTCTCTCAGACATTTGATGCATTTTCCCCAGTTCTCATTGTATCTATTCTGTGAGGAAGCCAGTGAGATCTTTTAATATGTTGGCAATCAATGACAACTATAAGTCTGTTGCAAAGGAAAAGAGCTTATGAAATAGAGCCAATACGCCACCTGGTGTTAAAATGGCCAGCACAGGCAGGGAGTGACAAAAAACTCAGGAGTTATTCTGTCAATGTAAATAAATATTGACAGGTAAATGTGCATGCATGCAGTGCACACGGGGTGCTGAGTTGCCCGGCACCGACGAGGGGGGCATCCGCTGCATGGCTACATAACATTGCATCATGTACGGCAGTCACTCCACCGATGAGTCAGCCCATGTGTGTCCAACTGAATTCCATTTCAAACACAATTAATTATCTCTCACTTAACAAGCCCTGAGTAATGTTTGTTCAATACTCTTGACTGCTAATACCCCCTCTTCCACCATCCTACCCCCTCTTCCAGGACCCTACCCCCTCTTCCAGGACCCTACCCCCTCTTCTAGCATCCTACCCCCTCTTCCAGCATCCTACCCCCTCTTCCACCATCCTACCCCCTCTTCCAGGACCCTACCCCCTCTTCCACCATCCTACCCCTCTTCTAGCATCCTACCCCCTCTTCCAGGACCCTACCCCCTCTTCCAGCATCCTACCCCCTCTTCCAGGACCCTACCCCCTCTTCCAGGACCCTACCCCCTCTTCCAGCATCCTACCCCCTCTTCCAGGACCCTACCCCCTCTTCTAGCATCCTACCCCCTCTTCCAGCATCCTACCCCCTCTTCTAGCATCCTACCCCTCTTCCAGCATCCTACCCCCTCTTCCAGCATCCTACCCCCTCTTCCAGGACCCTACCCCGTCTTCTAGCATCCTACCCCCTCTTCTAGCATCCTACCCCCTCTTCCAGCATCTTACCTCTCTTCCAGGACCCTACCCCGTCTTCTAGCATCCTACCCCCTCTTCCAGGACCCTACCCCTCTTCCAGCATCCTACCCCCTCTTCCAGCATCGATACCCTGTGTTTGTTTTGAACACATGTGGTACAAGCCCCTATCTGCAGATTAATCAGACATGGTGTCCCATTCACATTCCATCATGACCCAGATCCCCATGACCTGCTATTTCTCTATGACTATTGATTACTGTGGACCAAGAGGTCTGTCCCCAACTAACTGAAACAACATCACAAATATAAATCTACAATAACGTGTGTAGCATTTAAATCATGATTAATTACATTTCAAGCCCGAACAGCAAAATACCGAAAACTCACAATCTGGAACAGACAGGTTGTTTTTCTATGAACATAAAAGCCAACTATTTTTAATAAGTGTAATAATTTTTCCTTGTCATTTGCATATTCAGATTGTCAAAATTGTTGAATAAGTGCAAAAAGTGTTTCTAGGTTAATATATGCATGAGTAAAGTCACATATTTCAAAATATAGATGCATATCCAAACTTTTAATATCAATTCTTGCCCAACATGCACCTCGGGGTCGGGCAGACACATTATGCTTCCTCCTCCAGCTTGCGATGGGATGATAAGATGGGGATACCCGATACTCTCCACCAAGGTAGTGTTTTGCATTACTTTGTGTTAGGCCAACTCCCACCAGCCCCGGTAACATAATATGTTTCAAGTAATCGCCTCTAGCTTCTAATTTCTCCCCTTTTCCTTTTTACCAATTGGCTGAAAATTCCAGGCATACCATCATATGCTCCGTACACAAGCAAGAAGATTTTGAAAAGATCTCGGAAGGATTGTAGGATGTGCAAAAACAGTGCCGGCAGCAAGTTGATGAGTTCTGTTTTCCTCGTCAGAAGTGTTTGGGGGGAACACGATAACAAGTCAGCTATGTGGAGGTGGTCAGTGTCACACACAGCCCGAAATTACCCCCGATTTTGGTGAAGAAGAAGTGTAACCTTCGCGACAAGCTATTCCGAATGCTTACATCAACACTAGTTTTTCTGTCTGGTCTCATGTCATGTTTTATACAGTTGCTTGTAGGTTAGGTTGTGATAAGCTAATAACACCATCGTAACACAACAGTGAAACTTGACTGGAAAGTACATCTACAAAAATAAAAAGATTTCCCCGAGTCTTCATTATTAAAGAGTTAGTTGGATAACACTGCTTTGAACAGAATTTCAGTTATCCCGGAGTCAGATTATTGAGGGAGGAAAACCCAAAGTTTTAGCTGTTTACCATTTTGGTGAGACACAAGTCAAAATGTTTGTATGCCGTTTTTAGCAATATTCCAGCAATATCATGTACCCCAGAATGTTGGGGATCAAACCTGTGTCTTCGGCATGATGAGCCAAGGCTCTAACCAGAAGGCTACCCAATCACTCCTAGTGAATAATGAATAAGTAAGATTTGTATAATGTCACAATCTAAACATTCGAAAGATGTGAGGTGAAATTTGGTTTAACGTCGCGTCCAAGATTATTGCATGCACGTGTATGTGTTTGTGTGTGGCTGCTTGTACTAGTCCGGACTGATGCCGATTTATAGTGCTAGCTCACTGAGATACCATGCCGCAGTTTAACATGAATACCCCACTCAGACACAGTATACTGACTCCGAGCCGACCAGTCCTTGTTTTAGCCCCTTAATGCCGAGCGCCAGACAGGGTAACAACAAGTACAATCTTTTAACGTCTTTTTGCATGACGCGGCCGGGGATCAAACCCCGGACCTTCCGCTCTCCAGGTGGATGCTCAACCACAAGACCACTGAGGCGGTCACATTCGAAACAGAACTGACTCTGGATATCAATGAGTATCCAAGTGTCTAGACAGTAACATGAAGAGAAGGAAAAGATCAAGAACATCAAATCCACAGCATTTCCTCATGACATCGCACCACTGAGATGTCATATCATACAGCGTCATCTCAGGCATGACATCCAACCACAACTGGATTACGCATATCTGCCAAAGATCTTAGTCCTACTCAAACATGCATTCTCCCAATTTTGTTTTGAAATATTGCTTTTACCTGCATGAGGTCCATTTTTTCCTTCTCGCCCGTGTTGACATGTTGCTGCAACTGTCGGATCTCTGCGATGATGGCTTGGGCTTGCGTCACATTGTATCCTCCGCCCAGTCCCGCCAGCTTCTGGTCCACCCTGCACACACAGACACAGGACATTACTACACGACTGTCACAAGTCTATGGTGAAGTATGTTTGCTATAATCGCCTAAGTTTGTATGTGTATTTGTTCTTACTTAAAACCGCACTCAGTAATATTCTAGTGATATGACAAAGGCCTGTAAACAATCGAGACTAGACCAGACAATCCACTATCACACAGATGATTAGCTTCTGGACATTTGTAGCAACTAACGGGATCGGGTGGTCAGTCTCACTGACTTGGTTGGAGCATGTCATCGAACCAATTTACTTGGATCGATGCTCATGATATCACAGGATTGTCTGGTAAAGACTCAATTATTTACAGACCACCATCATATTGCTGGAATATTGCTAAGTGTGGCGTTAAACAACAAATACATAAACAATTATACAACCTTTCAACTATGTTCTTTTTCAATTCAAATTTACTGAAAACCACTTTCCGGGGAAGACACCACTGCTCATATACAACTAGTCTTCAGCTTCTCCACTCGTGTAATGTGAAATAACTACATGCCATTAGATTTTCACCAGACTAACGTACCAGTGGACGTGTCTAACCCTTACTTTTATCAACGTTCTCTTCACATTGCAAACATAGTGCAAACACCTCGTCACACATTTCTGGAACTTCAGTGCACACATTAAAAATACTATCTCTGAATTATCACCAAAGTAAGTGACATAACTGGTTCATCAAATTGTTGTTAACTAATGTCGTGTCTGAACAACCACAGACAGACATGACACACAGGAAGTGAAGCTTCTCCTCAACGTCTACAGGTAATACATCATATCTGGACTTGTCCAACATGAAGGTCATAACATCAGTCTTCCAACCACATCAGTCTTCCAACCACATCTCTCCACCAAATACAACATCCATTAACACAGCCAGTGCAATCCTCCCCTAACAATACAATCCAGGTTTTAGGTTGGATTCCAAACTAGTTCCCTTGGCACATTATTAAATTGGGAAAATAATGCTAGTTTGTTCAAAATTGGATTTTCTGAGGTTATCATTTTCTTAATTTCAAAGGTATGTTTTTGACATTGCACTTAAAGCAATAATGAAAATTATGAATAAAAGCCTCTTCCTTCTTACTGGTCCTGCTATCAGTGAAATACAAGTTAACTTAATAACATGAATTGAATATTTGGAATTTTTAATTGACATGTGCTGCAAACATGGGCCAAATAATGGTACTTAGCAGGTCTATACAATTCTCTTCGTGATGTAGATTAAATTACAGAAATGAAACTTTATATTAAATCAAACTCAATCTAATACACAAACAGATTTCCAAAGACAGAGTAAAATATTTCTGTCGCTCATCTATCCTCCCTTCTGGACCCTCACATGACATTCCATCTACCTCCCTGTGTAAGCCCCCCACATTCCGCCTGTTACGGCTATGGTTTATTATGACAGATAGTATGATGTAAGAAATACAGGGAATGGTAAAATCGGCCTAATGTTTCCCCTTTCTTCTCCTTAATGGGACCAGCTTCCTGTAGCCAAATAACTCCTGTCTCGTTGGCTCAAAAAGTACATTTGGAATCCTTGCATACATTTAACTTTCTCTTTAAATGTCTAACTGTACGTGATAACCACACATCTACGTCCCCACTTCAATAGTATCTTCCGTGTAAAATATGTGCTGAATTGTGTTCAGGGTGGAGGCAGTATGGGTCGCAATAAAAAACAGCTTTTTTTTATTGAAGGAAGTTTTATAGGACAGTCAGTATTATTTCAGCTATATTATCATGACTTTAAACGATTGGAATCTGGACAAGAAAATCAGTGATTGACCATACCACCAACATAACCTGTTCCTTTTGTTTGTTTGTTTGTTTGTTGTTTAACATCGAACTCAGCAATATTCCAGCTATATCATGGCTGTCTGTAAATTATCGAGTCTGGACCAAACAATCGAGTGATTTACATCATGAGCATCAATCAAGTCAGCAAGCCTGACCACCTGATCACAAAAGTCACCTTTTATGACAAGCATAGTCACTTTTGACACCATGCATAGGTTGCAGAAGACCTATTCTACCCCGGATCTTCACAGGTCCAACCTGTTCCTTTCTGCCCTGAATCCCAAATGGAGGATTTGAGACACAGAAAACCAGTGGTTTGATAACACGACAACAATCCACACATCTGGTCAGAGCTCGAGATATCTTTTTGAACAATTGAGTTTTTACTCTAGGGTTTCCATTTTAATTGGGTTAATACATTTTTCATTGGGTAACCAATATTTTTTTCACTCATCTATTCATCACTCTATTGGGTTTTTCCCAAAATAAGTGAATATTTTAAGATTAAAAAAAAAATGAAACAATGTTTTAGATGTATATAACTGTTCTAAACAGATAGGCGTGACTCTGAAAGTAAATTAGCTCGTAAATGTGTTTCCAAAATTAGCTCCTTTGTACGCATACTGGAAAAGCTTCATTGAGTATTTGCAGGTGCTGTTTTTATACATTCGAGTTTTTTATCTAATGCATGAGTTTCTGTACGCAAGTTAATTGAAACTAATTGAGTTTTGAATATGGGGGGGGGGGTATTTTAGCAAATATGCTTATCTGTAGCTCTGTCTGATGGGTTGACACACAGACTACACACTGGGGGCCTGTTCTCCTGTATACATTCAAGGAAGGATTTGACTACACGCACTGGCAGCCCGATTGATTCAAGTTTTAAAATTGCTTCTCATTCTAGCGACACACATTTTGTGAAGTGTATAAATTTATTTAATAAGCCCTACTTAAACTCAGACAATATGTCATGTCACACACATAGCACTACTTACTGTGTGTAGACCTGTACCATGAGGAATACCGACCCCTTTAAGAGGCCTAACATGTACACTCCATATTACTTTTACGTCATCCAAATGACTACACCCAGTGTTTTGTAACAAAATAGTGCCCATTTAAAAGTGACAGCACCCAGGGTTTTTAAAAAAGCATGGTGTCCCCTTAAAAAATGACAGCACCCAGGGTTTTTAAAAAAACATACTGCCCCTCTTAAAAGTGACAGCACCCCATGTTTTATAACAGAGCATAGTGCCCCTTTAAAAATGACTACACACAGTGTTTTATAACACCAGACTGAATGTTGTCAATATGCAACCAACAAGACAGTTTTGTGCAGGTACAGAATACCTGTGTCCCCTCAATAACGAGGTCAGTCCCCCAGCGAAGGGGCAGGTAACAGGACAGGTAACATGGAGGAATTTAACCTCCTGGATAACAATAGAGCCATTCTTCCATCTCTGCTAAGTGGGAAGGCACAAAACAGAATGTCAGGATTAAATAACGCCTGCGTCAACTGGGAGACGTTGGGCTCAGATTTTCCTCATCGGAAATGTAAATAAAAATCTGGAGGTAAAATATTTCCGTTTCACTAGAAGTGGCACTTGAAAATGTTACCTTTTCCCTCACAAGAACAAACTATCTTCATTAATCAATTACAAGAGACAAGGATGTATGGGAAGCACGTCAATCTGACAAATGTAAAACTGATAAAAACATGGGATTAATCCGGAAATTCAGAGATTCCGTTTTGAACTATATCTCTGTTGTCAGCTGGATGTGGGACGAAACTCTGAAGTGATGCAAATCTTAAGTGAGTGAGTGCGTGAGTTGGGTTTAACGCCGCTTTTAACAATATTCCAGTTATATCGCGGCGTGTCAGCTTTATGTGGGAGGAAAGCCCGAAGTGATGCAGGTCTCAGACATTTACCACTTTGGTGAAAGATGCAAATCTTAAAGTGACTAAGTAAGTGAGTGAGTGAGTAGGGTTTTATGCCACTTTTAGCAAAATTCCAGCAATATCACAGTGGGGGGACACCAGAAAAGGCTTCACACATGGCACCTATGTGGGGAATTGAACCCCTTGCTTCCGGCATGATGAGAGAAAACTTTCACCGCTGGGCTACCCCATCGCACCAGGTCTTAGACATTTACTACTTTGGTGAAACCAGAAAAGTAGAGGTACAGTGCTGACAAACCTAGAAACATAATCAAGGAGAATTGGGAGGCAAACCATTTGAAACGAAAATCATGTTGTTCAAATTGAAAAATAAACGATGTCATATAAAACATAACAGTTGGGAATAAAACTCAAATTCAACATTGTAAATCTGGACTTAATATCATATCAGTGCCACAGCACTTAGGCCAAAACCCGTGAAGATCCGGGTTAGAATTGGTCTTCAGCAACCCATGCTTGCCGTAAGAGGCAACTATGCTTGTCATAAGAGGCGACTAACCAGGTCGGGTGGTCAGGCTCACTGACTTGACTGATGCATGTCATCGTATCCCAATTGTGTGGATCGATGCTCATGATGTCAATCACTGGATTGTCTGGTCCAGACTTGATTATTTACAGCTTCCATCATATAGCTGGCATATTGCTAAGTGCGACATTAAACAACAAACAAACAGCTGAATGGCACTAGTTGCTTTACAGTAGTTGATATTTCTTCTATTTTAAACTTATCTTCCTATGCTTTTATTTTCACTTAAGTTATATCACAATAGCACGGTATTGGTCTCGTAACTGTGTGCACTTCACAAGTCTACATAGACAGAGCTTGGGCTTATCCAGTCATCCAGTCTGTTATTCGGGGCCTGGTCTCAGCACAAGCCAAGATCACCCACAATGCAATGTCTGACTTTGTGCCAAATCGTGATGTTCCCACCAGAACAATTAGCAACGAGACGCAATGATAGAGAGCGCCCAAAGCCGTCTCCTCTCACTAGTGAACTTTGGGTAATTAAAGCTTAATCTTTAGCTTGTACAAGCTCCTTGCATATAATGTTAATATATGAAGGCTTGTTTCCCTCGGAAGGAATTACGCGAGTCTTACATTGGTGAGTGAATCCAGTGCACAGCCTACCGATGGCTGTAAGGACATACTTGATGATAGATGTGTTAAGTCATTAGAAGAATTTCAGCATGGTTATCCAGTGCACCGCATCTGTCCTGCTCTACATAATAAGTGTCTACACACGAGAAGTAGTAGGGTCAACAGTCAAAGTTCATTGCTAATGCCTTTTGGGATATTAACCCTACAAAGTTCAATCACAGAAATATACTTTCACTAAACTTAAGTCAAGCAGCAGGGCTATTTAGGTTTCTGAGTTAAATAGAAAAGGACATTTTGTGATGCTTTTCACATTCTATATCACCTTACGAAAAAGGTTTGAATGACAAAGTTGTAGATTAAAGAGATATCATTAAGCCGTTTTGTGCATTTCTCGTCGCCTCTTTAGACCATACTTGTAAGCCCATTAGGATCTGCTGCTACAACTCGATACCATGAGGCAGAGCTTCAATAGACTTAATAGTTAAAATGCCACCTCGGTCTCGCCTAGTAACAGTTGTTGTTTGTTGTTTCCACACTCAGCAATATTCCAGCCATAAGACGGTGATCTGTAAATAATCGAGTCTGGACCACACAATCCAGTGATTGACATCATGAGCATCAATCCACGCAATTTGGATACGATGAAATGCATCAATCAAGCCTGTGATCCTAACCACCCGATTCCGTTATTCACCTCTTATGACAAGCCTAGTCGCCTCTTACGGCAAACATGGGTTGCTTAAGACCTATTCTACCCCGGATCATCATGGGTGTCTCCAAGAAACAAATGCCACTTGATTGGGGTGGTCAGCTTGGAGACTTTGTTGATTGTATAACGCAATTCTCAATGACATTGGACATTATGAATAATCTCTATCAATGATTCGTATGGTTCTGACTCACCTATTTACAAGCTGCGCTAATAAAGCTGAACTATTACTGTCCAGTGTATTATGTACAACAAAACTTTTTCACTTAGATAAATGAGGTGTGAATGAGGAGTGAATGAGTTTTTTTTAGCATAACAATACTATTGACAACTGTTTGAACTATTAGGTAAATGGAGAATTATAAATATACATATTTACTGAAAAAGTAGACCCTGCTGAAGACCCTGCCTAAAGTCAGCAGTCAGTTATCTCCCCTTGTGACACTGACCTTGGTGTCAACATGACTTGCAAAACAGACAGACATGGATTAAGGGTGGACATTATATGAAAAAATATCAGAGTGAGTGACTGAATTTTGCTTAATGCCATATCAGCAATCTCGCAGCTATTTACCGCAAGGAATAATTTCATCCACTTAACATTCAGGGGGTATTTCCCCTTCTATGGTCAAGCGTTCGTCCAATATGCATTAAACGTTTATTTGGTAAAAGATTTATATAACTATATAAACAGAAGAGACATTGACAGCTACCTCCTTTCATTATATGGCGTATCACACATCGTCCATGGTGAAATCCATTTCAGAACGTTCTGAATCACGTCCCCATCACACGAGACAACCAGAGGGACCAGAACCTCATGTGATCACTGTATCAAACTATGATCCACTAAAGATATCTATCAAATGTGCCACCATGCTGTAGGTACATTGAGGGATTTACTAGTTCTCCAGTGACATGGGTAGGGAACAAGGTGAGGTGAGGTGAGGTGAAATTGGGTTTAACGTCACGTCCAAGATCATTGCACTTATATAGCGACGTGCATGCACGTGTATGTGTGTGTGTGGCTGTTTGTACTCACTGAGATACCATGCCGCAGTTTAACATGAATACCCCACTCAGACACAATATACTGACTCCGAGCCGACCAGTCCTTGTTCTAGCCCCTTAATGCCGAGCACCAGACAGGGTAACAACAAGTACAATCTTTTGACGTCTTTTTGTATGACGCGGCTGGGGATTGAACTCCGGACCTTCCGCTCTCCTGGCAGATGCTCTACCACAAGACCATGGAGTCGGTCGGGTAGAGAAGCCAAAGCGGTTACTGAGGTGACAAAACATCAAGAGTTATCTTACCTTGTCAGTGTCTCCACGCCTCTCTCCTTGTACTGCATTTCTGCCCGAATCTGCTCCAGTTCATTTTTGAGTCGAGCCACACTTTTCCGCGCCAGGCATATGTCGGACTTGAGGAGGTCCGGGTCATACTTCGTACTGCCTACACTGGAGTTGGAGTTCACTGAAAGAAGATGTCAAGACAATGTGAAGGAACTGTTTGGTCAGCGACACTCCTCTTTATCACATAAAGGCTTGTGTTGTTGATGCAATAAACCAATCTGATTAACTGTATCATGATCCAATAAATATGCAAATGAGGTTGCCTGGCAGGAACTACTTTCAAGCTCCATACATCAAAGTGATGCCCATATTCGTAATAAACTATTGACTAATATTCCCAAATGCTTAGACAGGCATTTCCCATAAGTCATCATAACACGGCAACAAACATGGCTGCAAGTTTTTTTGGCACAATTTGACAAAATGGGATGATCACTCAAAAATTGTATTCATGCACGATTTCAAAAGCTACTTTATTGAGTGAAATTACGTCTTAAACATTTATTATTTTAAGAAAGACATATGACAAAAAGATATGACCCTCGTATGTATGGCTCAGGTAATACATTTTTTATTCCTAATATATATTTACGACACAGAAATAGACTCGACTTTTAATCTCTATTTATCACAACAGCCTTTTTTTCAAGTCTTGGCCAGTGAAGATGTGAGCATTCATCCACAAGTGAGTGAGTGACTGAGCATGGTTTTCTGCCACTTTAAGCAATATTCCAGCAATATTCCAGCAATATCACGGCAGGGGAACACCTGAAATGGGCTTCATACATTTGACCAATGTAGGGAATCGAACCCGGCCTTCAGCATGACGAGAACGCTTTAATCACTAGGCTACCCCACCGTCCCTCCATCCATCAGGTCATGGCACGGACTGAAAAGTATTCAATTTCAAGTGTGCCATGGGGAACTCATCCGCATGTGCAGTTGTTTTCACTACCAGCATAGAAAAAAGGTTTAAGAACATAAATCATTTCCAAACCAACAGACATGAATAAATATTTTATTTGACTTGGTCGCATTATCTTATAACATAATTTGGTCTTCAGCAACCCATGCTTGCTGTAAAAGGCGACTATGCTTGTTGTAATGGGATTGGGTGGATAGGCTTGCTGACATGGTTGATGCATGTCATCGATCCCAACTGCGTGGACTGATGCTCATGATATCAATCACTGGATTGTCTGATCCAGACTCGATTATTTACAGACCGCCTTCATATAGCTGGAATATTGCTGAGTATTGCCAACCAACATAACATAATTTACAAGAACATCTTGATTAAGTCACTATAACTCGCGAACAAGAACATACTTCCCAGGCCATTAATCTCCACTACAAGCTAAGTCTATTCTCAACAGACTTTCCATTGTTACACCAGACTGCCATTTAAGCAGGTAAGAGTTCTTAGTAGCAATGGAAGCTTGATTACCTGGCACTCCCGTCTAAATGGGCTACTTTACGATACACTGGTCAAGAATGTAGCCCTTATCTGCTCAACTAGTCCCCATACGCCAGGAGAGAAACTGTTTTGTTTCACATGTTCCACCTCACAAGAAGATACCCTCATACCTAGACCAGTGCAAGTCAGCAGTGTCTGGTAGTACTTGTGGTCTTTACAGACATAATCATACTGTACAGTGGGGTCTGTTTGCATGAGGAGGAACCACTGTGGTGAAGTGAGGGGATGGACGGGAGGGGAGGGGAAGGGGTCAGAAGATTAAAGGAGAGAGGGAGAGGAGAGAGCGTCAGAAGGAGGGAGGGGAATCAAAGAGAAAAAGGGCATCAGAGGCAAGGGGAGGGGAGTGGGGCTTCAGGGAGTAAGAGGGAATCTGAAGGGGGATGAGGGACGAGGGACGAGGGACGAGGGAGTAGGAATCGGAAGGGGGACGAGGAACGAGGGACGAGGGAGTAGGAATCGGAAGGGGGATGAGGGACGAGGGACGAGGAATCGGTAGGGGGACGAGGGAGTAGGAAGAAGAAGTTGGACGTGGGGAGGGGAAGAGGGAGTCGGAGGAAGAGGTGGTAGGAGGGGAGGGAGTCGTAGGAAGTGGGTAAACAAGTGTATTTGCATGCCACTGTCAACAACCTCCAAGTAATAGTGCAGCAGGATGTAAATCAAGAGTGGGGCAGGAGACCAGTTGTTGTTAGCAGGAGTCCTGAATCGTCCCAGTCACATATTGAGCCCACCCGATCCCCATGTCGGTCCACTCTTACAGCCACCACCGGGACCAGTCAGTGTTTGTGTATAACCCAGGAAACGGTGAACTCTCCCCAGTCCATGCTGACTGACGTGTTTGTACAGACCAGGGCAGATAGTACATTCTAGCACTGCTTCATGGTATGTGTGTTGTAGTCGCCACATCCTACCCTGGCCCGCTCTCTCAGACCTCCCACTCACAAAGTCACAGCAGCCACCATGACAAATACCACACTCCTCCTCCAAACGCATGGAAATGACTTTCAACATAATGATCTTACTAAACAAAAAAACCTGCAAAAATAACTTCCTGTTTTGAAGTCTGAATATTTGTATCATAGTCCAAATCATAACATAAAACGCTCGAGTCAAGATTCCTCACCAAGCTTATGTATGCAATTCACAAATTAAGCATCACTGATCACCACCACTAAAAGCTAATAGGCTGGAGCTCAACATAACATACTTCTTTAAAAAAAACTAAAACCCCAACACATGCTTAGCTATCCTACTTCAGACTCAGAAGATACTGTTAAAACGCATGTTATTCATCACTTGAACATAATAATACTTCCTATTTCAGGATTCCACCATCTATTTTTCCACACAGTACCTAAGAGCAATTTTCGTAGAAAGCGTTCAACTTAACATTTCAAAGCCTGCCGAGCAATTGAGAAATCGGAAGAGGCTTGTCGCGATTATGTGGAATGTATGCAATTAAGCGGGCATTGTAGTGTCAGTATCCTGCTTGGCTGTCCTGAAGGACTAGACCCTCTTAGATAGGTCAGCTAGCACCAACACCAACAGCCTTGTGCGAAGATGGGACCAAGTGTGGATCTCATTTCAGTCCTATTATGCAAAAATTACATGAATTATAAAAAGATAGCATCGGTAAATACAATTTACATTTTTATTTCTTCAGATGAGTGAAAATATCATCAAACTAGTAACAAAATCTCAATATCAAGCTGATTTATTGTTTTGTATAATTCTTCTACTATGTCCCATTGTCAAATACAAATGAATACACTTAATCTGGTTAATTCTTTGATTCAAAGATTACCAATAAAAAACAAAGACATCTTTTAACCCAAAAAATCCCAAATCATTTTTTAGATATATTTTAAATTTCAACCTACAAATAATTATATAACTCAAAACATACAATAAACAATTACTGTAAGAATCTAAATCCCACATCAACGATGCCAATAACTTGAGTGTATAAATATTCATGTGTTACACTTCAGCCATGTCCCAAAACATTAATTCTTCAGGTAAAATATCTTTGTGTTTGAGTGAAGCATGCGATGTGGCTCCGCGGTTCCGTCATGGTATTTAAGCCTCTAAGACAGTAGTCATTAATTATCCACAGCAGCTCTACTGATATGTGATGCAACACAATGCTAACTGGAGTGGAGCACCACGCAGTGCTACAATAGAGATGGGAAGGTTACCGTATTCGACGTAATAAGTACCCAGGGCGCTCTCAAATTAAAATAGGGGGCTCTTATTAGAATATTATTTTCGTGAAAAAAACAGAGTTGAAAGATAAATTTTGTGGTTTATGCTGACTGCCTGAATGTTTATGTACGACAGATATATTTTTCTAGAATTTAATTGCCCATAATTAAGGGTGTATATAACACACGAGTGCGTATTGTATGCGAATAAATAGGTCTTGTGAACATTGATCAATCGGAAGGGGTGCTAATTAGGATTGTTCACTAGCCAATATATTAGCAAATACCGCCGTGAGCGCTTTTTAGAGTGGGGCGCTTATTACGTTGAATGCGGTATACACCATGATGGACTGACACCGGAACATTTTATTTGAATTATGTAAACCTTCACATCTGGACAAACAATTACCTGAGAAATTAGAAAACCTTAAAATAAATACATGTTTTATTCACTTTACCTTAACTGGATACTAGTTTCAAATACAAATTTGTGATAGTCCAGTAGTTTTACAGTCCCTTGTAGACAGATTTTATATTATTTATTTATCAGCAATGTACAACATGTTTTTTCGTCATTATATGGCTTTTATTAGAATTATGTAAACCTATTATCTGGACAAACAATTACCTGAGAAATAAGAAAACCTTAAAATAAATAAATGTTTTATTCACCTTTCATTAAGATGTGGTTAATTGTTTTGGTTTCTCTTGAATTAAAATCCCTCCTGAATTATGAACATGGTTAAGTCTGTGTTAGCGCTTTACAGAGAATACTCCATGCATCCACAGAGCCTTTCTACCCAAAAATACTGTCATTCATTCAAAAGCTATTATTTCAATCATGGAACAAATGTTTGTCTTAATTTTGGCTAAACTTGATAACACTCGCCAGCAACTAGAGGGATGGTGTAAATCTTAGTGGGGAACTATGCAGGAAGCAGATGTACTCTGGTCTTCATGGTCCCTAGCAGAGTGGCCTACCTTTGTTGCTGAGGATCTCAAGCCTGTTTTGTAACATACTTTTGTGTAGGAGATATTTTTATGGTTGCATACTAGTTTTAAATACAAACTTGTCGTATTTCCAGTTGTTTTATGGTCCTTTGTAGACAGACCTCATATTATTTATTTATCATCATGTACAACTTGTTATCGTCATTATATGGCTAAACTACTGACGGTGTGACACTGAATTTTGACTCACTCACTAGTTGTAGAATTAGTCTGTAAACTGCATGTGGGGCATCATTGTAGAATTACAAACAAAACCAACCAAATAAAATAAATGAAAACATTAATTAACCCGGTCTTTGAAAGGCATTTAGAAGTGATTTACATAAGGAAGAGAATATATGGATGTCAACTTCTTTATCATGAGGAACACAATGGTCCGGAGTATATGCTTACTCCATCATTCACCTGATGAAGGAGTAAGCACACTCTCCG